TCATGTGTTAGAATATTTCCATCATCCCAAAAGATGCCCTCCCGTCTGTCTGCGGTCTGGTCCCTGTTGCTCCCCCCTCCCCCCACCAGCCCCAGGCAATGACTGTTCCGCTTTCTGTCTTTATAAATTTGCCTTTTTAGACATTTCGTAGAGAAGGAATCCTACAAGATAGGTTTTGCTCCTGGCTTCTTTGACTTAGCTCACATTTATAAGGTTTGTCCATATTGTAGCATGTATGAATAAATCCACCCTTTTTACTGCAAATACTAGTCCACTGTCTGGATAGACCACATTTTGCTTACCTGTTCACCAGGTGACGGACATGTGGGTTGTTTCTAGTTTGAGGCTGTTGGGAATAATGCCGCAGACATTCGTGTCCATGTCTCTGTGTAGGGGTCTGTTTTTCTTTCTCTTGGGCAGATTTCTAAGAACAGAACTGCTGGGTCGTATGATAAATGTATGCTTCATGCTTTAAGTAACCATCGAACTGTTCTCCAGTGGTGCTGTGCTCCTGCACGATGCCATCACCAGCGTGTACGGATCCCAGTCTCCGTGTCCTCGCCAACACTCGGGGCCATCTTTCTGGTTACAACCTGCCTGGTGGGGGTGAAGTGGTGTCTCTCCATGGTTTGAATCAGTATCTCCCTGGCAGCTCGCCATGTTGAGCAGCTTTCTGCCCACTTACTCCTAGACTCTTTGCCCTGAAAAGCCAGGGGTTGGCAAGCTTTTTCTCTAAAAGGACCAAATATTTGGGGCTTTGCGGGCCACACTAGATTTCTGTCCCATGTTCTTTGGGGTTCTTTGCTTCACAACCCCTAAGAACATTCTGGGCTTCCTTGCACAAAATGAAGCCAGGGGCTGGATTTGGTGGCCTGCCACACTTCGCCGACTCCTGCTTTAAGCCCCTCACGGAGAATTCCAGGGCCCCTGCTGAAAGAATCTGGTGGCCCACGGAGCCCACGCTGAACATGGCAAGAGGTCACCCACCCCTCCTGGTGAAGGGGCTCAGGGGGAGGACGATCCTGCAAAGCCAAAGGGTCAGGTTCCAGAGGTGTCTCCATCCCGCCCCACAGTGATTCAACACCCGATGAGCTCATCACAGTTCCTGGGATGAAACCTAATCATTTGTCACCCAAGACGGAGTGAGTGGGTCCCTGTGGGTCCTGGGCAGGCCTCCCTCTGCCCTGTCCCAGACCTTAGCGCCTCTTGTGGGGCCCAGCAGCCTGTCCTCCCCATCCCCACCTTGATTTCAGAGCCCTGCTGTCCACCTGCAGTTCGTACTGGTACCTCCCACAGCCCCTCCACCCCCTGGTTGCCTGGCCTCCGGCTCTCCAAGCCCCCGTGGACTTGTCCTGGCCCTCACCGTACGCCCCCAAGCCTTCTCGACCCCCTTCATCGCTGTGTCTCTTGGCAAATCTATCCCTCCTCTTCACTGTCTGCCCTGGCCCTGACAGATGTGATAGAGAAACACCTTTGGAATTAACCAGAGCCCATTCTGACTCCTGAATTGTTGCTTTCTAGCTGTGTGACCTTGGGCGAGTCATGCCACCTCTCTGGCCGTGAGAGTCCTGTATATAAACGGGACACTAGAGTCCTGTAGCAGACGTTGCAGAGGAGCCCCTCAACCACTCCGCTCGGAAGGCTGCTCACTGGGACCGCATGTGACCGCCTGGGGCCATGTTCTTTTCTGGCTGTGGGAGCCCTTTGTCCTCGGCACAGGGCCGCTGCAAGTAGGGCAGTGTCCGGGGAGCTGGTGGGTAAATGCTACAGCTTCCTCGCTCCCTGGGTGGGGGGCAGGGGGGCACGGTCTCCTCGAGTCCCCACAGGACTCACAGCCGGCCCCACAGTGGCCCAGTCATAATACTTGGTGGTGCCCCGTTAATGATTGCCTTCTCCTCCCCACCCTGCACCGATGTGTCCTACAACGCCTTGCAAATAAAGAAACCGTTTGCGCTTGGGTTCTTGTCTTAGGGCCTGCTCTGGGGGCTGCTTAGCCCGTGGCAGGTCCCCATCTCCAGGAGTACTGTGAGGTTGCAGTGAGATGATGCCCAGAAGTGCTCAGCGCAGTGCCTGGTGCGTAGTATGTGCTCTTTATGCATTGGCCCTTGTCACAAGCCCTGGGACCTTCTGGATTTGAATGCACCCACAGGTCCTGGGGAGGCCCATTAAGCAAGGGCTAGGGGGCTCGCAAGAGAGCTGTTGTCCTTCCCCTGTAAGGAGGGGTGTGTCGGTGAGCGCTGAGGCCAATGCTGCCCAGTGAGCCCTTTTGCCTGGACCTTGCTGCCTCGAGTCTCAGGGATGTCTGAGTGTGGAGAGCTTCGGACAGCACTCAATGCCCCTCCCCTCCCCTGCCCCTCCCCTGCCCCTCCCCTCCCCGTACCCCCCCCACCCCACACACAACACGCGGGCTCTATTTGGCGAAGTTTCAGTGAGGGTTGGGTGGAACAGTGTTCACCAAAGATTAATGATCGCTTTTTCTAGGTTGTGGGATTTTTGAGGCCTTTTTTCACTTACCCTCTTCTTTGTGCTTTTCCAGCATGGTTTAAATGTCTTAAAATGAACAGGCATCATTTTCACAAAAAGAATGAAGTCATTATTCTTTCAAAGGTAAATAACTTGCTGCTGGTCAGAAGATAGGGCCCTTATGGCTCAGACCGTTTTCAACTCTCGACTCCACTGTGGGAAGACATGGATATGAATCGTGTGGTTTTCTTTGGGGCTTAATATTTGGCGAGTTTCTGTGACCATTTCGCGGTCATTTAAAAATAAAGCAATTCTCTGGGTATAGAGCAAAACCACTGTGTCCAGGACTCAAAGGAGCATTCACCTTCAGGGATGGGAAGTGTCTCCATGGTGTTAGACTTTGGGCACTCTGTGTTTGCACAGGCCAGGCAGTGCGGAGGTGGCTGTCTCCTGGCTGACGGTGACTGGGACCGGGGCCTCAGGGAACTGGGGCGTCTTGTCATGAAAGTCATGGGGCTCAACAAACCCTCATAGTCACCATCATCCCCCCCCTCCCGACCGTGTATTCACTGTTCACTAAATACCCTCTCCTGACACAGCTCCCCATGCGTGTCTTCCAGTCCTTACAGGATCTAAAATGATGGACAAGTCATGTCCCCCACCTGAAGAAAATGATGCTGTCCGATTCCCCCACTTGTTTCTTTTGCCCTGCTGCCCCTCCAAGAGGACTTGTCTCCTAGTTCTTGATGAGGGATGGTGACTGGCAGAGCACAGCCAGACCAAGAGGGAGAATGAAGAGGCTGTCCTGGGCAGGCAGGCTAGCCAGCAGGTGCAAGAGTGCTGGGGGAGTGGGGAGACAAGCTACATTGACTTACACAAGAAAGATCGGGGATTTGCGGTGCCTGGGTGACTCAGTCGGTTAAGTGTCTGCCTTCAGCTCAGGTCGTGATCTCACCCCCCACCCCCGCCTTCGAGTCCTGGGATCCAGCCCCACATGGGGCTCAGAGCCTGCTTCTCCCTCTCCCTCTGCCCCTCCCCACCCCAGCCGGTGCTCATTCTCTTAAATAAATAAACATTTAAAAAGATCTGGGACGATGAGGGGAAGCAGACTTTGTTGTGAGTTAGCTATGTGGGTGATGGTGGTGATGATGGGGCATGATTAGCAAGTGAGAGACTCTGGAAAATCATGGAGTTTGGGAACAAACGGGAGAAAGAAAGTGGGATCCTATTTGCATTGCTGTGGGTTGTCTGTTTCACCCTCGTGAAGTTTCTCTAAAGAGACAGGTTAAGAATCCGGGTTCCCTTTTCGTTGCCAGTCTCTATTCTGTTTGGCCTCTGCCTTCGAATGTGACTCCGTACAGAGAGTGGGCCACATGGGTCCAGAATTTATGAAGATCACACCCTGAAAGAGGCTGCAGAGTAATTTCATGCCTAATTTGCAGAAGAGGAAACTGAGGCTCAGTAGTAGGTGATATGCTTTATGGTAAGAACTGGGCCTCCAGTCTGTCTTGTGTTCCACTGCGAGGCCTCACTCAGCACAGTTAACTACTCAGGTTGATAAGGCATAGGTTCCCCCAGATACTTCCCTGAAGGCCCTGGGTTCCAAGACCACTTTGCAATTCCAAACTCAGAAACTAAATGATCAGGAGAGCCCTGGCAGCCTCAGGGCCAGGGGGGCACCCTGACCTCCTCCCTCCCACTGCCTCATTCAGATTCTGGCTCAGAGATTGCGACTTGTCACCCCAGCTGGCTGCTGGCTCGGTGACACTAAACAGGTTTTCCCCAGGGAGCAGAGCACTTAATGAAGGAGTTCATCCAGCGGGAGACTCCCAAGCGAGCCAGGGCGGCAGAGCCAGCTGCAGAGCTGGGAGGGGGTTTGGCTGGGACCTCCGCCTGCCAAGGGTTGCTGTTTCCATGATGTCAGAGAGGCGGAACTCTGCCTCACATCACGGGAGACAGCACCCCTCTCCCCAGAGGTGTCTGGCTTTGGACGTGGCCCTGAGCAAAGGTGAGAATGCTCGTCTTACTCACCAGGAGGAAACTGAGGACTGCCTTCACGTTTCTTGGGGGCCTCTGGGCTTGTCAGCACCTGGCCGGAGTTGAATTCCTGGCCCCAAGCCTTTCTGTTCCTTTTTTTAGCTGGACTCCACTCTCCAGGGGGACCTCTTAGGACCGGGATGAGAGAAACCGTGCCTCCAGCTCAAAGAAGGTCCCTCTGTGCACCCTGGAATGCACCCGCTCTGGCTGCGTGTGAATACTTAGGGAGTACGTTTGGCAGATGTGATATGAAAGAGAAACCGCTTCATTCTTTTTTTTTTTTAAGTCATTGGAAGCAGTGTGAAGACTTCTCGGCTAGTGTCTGGGAGGCCTGGTTGGACTTTGCCTTTCTCTGGGAGTCCGTTTCTTATAGGGTGGTCCACGCCGACAATTTCTCGGGGCCTTACACATCCTATTGCATCTGTTTCTCTGATCATCTTGCGTCTTCCGCCCTCAGCGTGTCAATAACATGTTCGTGTCTCCTTCTCTCTCCTGACCAGAAAAAGATTTACAAATATAAGAAAGTCCTGAGTAACCCAAGCCGTTGGGAAGTTGTGTTGAAGGAGATCCGAACTCTGGTGGACATGGCCCTGACATCCCCCCTGCAGGATGACTCCATCAACCAAGCCCCACTGGAAATTGTCTCAAAACTGCTCTCAGAGGTAAGACATTCCTCCTGCTTGATTTTGTACACCCGCCACCCCTGCCTTCAAGTTTTTTTTCCTTTCCTTCGGCTGAGCACAGCGCTGTGCCTGGCGGCAGAACTGGACCTGAGTTTGTGTTGTCTCCCCATTGCCCAGGGAGGTGAACGGTGTCCCCCAGCCCGAGGGAGCCCAGCAGGAGGTGTGTCCCCAGTGCCTGCAGCCGAGCACCCCGAGGGTGGGGCAGGGGTGAAGGGACAGTTGTTGCTGCCCTGCCAGGCCCCCCCCCCCCCGAACATGGGGGACACTCTTGGGCCTGAGGCTGGGCGGGTGGAGATGATGGTGGCAGCATATTTCAGAATTTTCCAGTTCATCCCTGAGCCAGAGCACGTCGGTCAAGCCCCCAGACCGCGCTTCCTCCCTGCCCCTCGGCGTGGGGGCCGGCCGTCCCTGCCCGTCTCCATCCTCCCCCTGCCCTGGCCTGCATCAGCTCCAGGGGCCCAGGCAGCGATGGCTTTCTGCCCCCACCACCCGCCCAGCAGCAGAAATTCCGGCAGCAGCCCGCAGCCAGCACAGCTCGGCTTTGCCAGGCGGCCCCACGCTAGGGCGTGTGCCGTGCAGGACGCTGTCCTGGGCATGGGGACGAAGACAAGCCCCTGTCCTCCTGGAGCCCACGTTCCCCCAGGGGGACAGACAGAGCAAGGGCCTCAATCAGTGTCGGTCCTGCTGTTTTTCGTGGGGAGGTGATGGCTGCTTGGAAATGCACTGTTTAGTCTGCCCCAACCATCTTGTCAGCGCTTCCCAAATACTAACACTTGTCTCGTTTGTTTGCCTGCCTGGCCCCCTGGAGACCTGGCGTTGATGACTCCTGATTTAAACCCCACATGGCCACCAGCGTGATGCTTCTGTCCCCCTCCCCTGGGACGGGCCCCTGCTCTCCTGGCATGCCCGATTCCCTGAGTAGCTTCTAGATGCCCCCTCTGAGCCTGCACAAGCTCCTTGCTGCCTAGAGTCACCCCTTCCTCTGTGGACCCAGGCTGGTTGCTGCCAGTCAGTCCAGGAAACTGGCCCAGGCCTTCCACGTCTGCCGAATAGAGGGTCCCTTGCCCTGGAAGCAAGTGGGGGCAAGAAGTAGAAGATAGGCAGTAAAGACTGTCGCAGGTAGGGGAGCAGAGACCATGCCCTCGGGTGTGAGACAGGTTCATTTCACAGAAGAGCAAAGACTCCGGCTCTGAAATGAATCACAGTCAAGGTCTGGAATTTGAGACCAGGCCAGGTGCTGTATACCCACCGTTCCCTCCTGGCTTCCCAGCCCCAGCCCAGGCTGGCTGCTCACCATCAGTAAGCACCTGCCGTGTGCCAATAGGGTCAGGTGCCGTGCACACAACGTCTCAGGTACTACATCTGCCCTAGAGAGCTAGGCCTTGCTGTCTCCATTATACAATCGAGGAAATTGAGGCCCCGAGACACTGAGCAACCTGCTGAGCAAGCAGTGGGGCTGGAATTTCCACCTTAGGGCTCCCTCCCTCTCACTGCAAGGCCACATCGCCCACCCCTTCTGCTCCACCAGTCCCTACCCCACCACCACACCATCAGTAGATCAGGCTCGCTGTCAGGACGACGGGGAAGGTGGCAGGTGGGCTCTACCGCCAGCTTCTGGCAACATTTGTTTCCATCTTACATGTTTCATAGACCACGTGCCCCTGGGCCTTTGCATCACCTGTCGGGCCAAGGTTTTAAAAATCGTCTGACCCCCAAGCACTAGGGTGGAAAGAGAAAGGCATTTAAAGGGAAAAGAAAAAAGGAAGAAACTTGCATCTGCTGTGTACCTACCGTGTGACAGGCAAGGGGTCATTATTATTCACTTTGACAGACAAGCGCTGCTATTTGGTAAGGGACAGAGCTGGGACTGCAGCCCAGGCAGCAGCCTGAGTGACATGTTTTTTGAGTACATACTCTGTGACCACTGCTTTGGCAGGCACTTAGAGCTGATACTTTACATTTCTCCAGGAACCCTGCGAGGTAAGTCCTAAAATGTACAGATGAGTGAACAGAGGCTCAGAGAGGCTGTCACTTGCCTAAGTGGTGGGCCAGGATCCACGCCCAGGTCTGTCTTTTTGGAAAGCTCACGCTCTTATGCATAGATGTAGCATAAATTGGTAGAGACTTTCTAGTGGGGCGGGGGGCGCCCCAGCTGTGTAGGACAGGATGGTTGAGAACAGGTATTGTAGAAGCAGGAGGACCTGGTTCTACCCTTCAGGTGCTAACTGGCCGTGGACAATGTACTAGGTCTCTCAGTACCGTTTTCTTCTGTGAGTTGGGGCGAAGATGAGCACCCATTCCATAGAATTAAGGATCGGGTGCTCTAATACGTACAAAGCGCCTGGCCCTGTGCCTGATTTACAGGGAGCATTTGATAAATGGTCACATTTTTGTTGTCATGGGAGATGGTTGTGATCTTGACCTTAAGCTCTCTCAGCTGAAGGGTCTAGGGGGATGGGTGGAAAAACAAACAGATCCTTCCTCCTCCTTGCCCTTTTTTGTCTAGAATATATGGGCTAGATTATTTGTTCTCTTTCCTCAGGTTGCTCCCGGGGTCTCCTTCTGGGAGGCTCCAGGTGTCCCCAAAGCAACCCGAAGGTGGGCAAGATCCCAAGGAAGGGAGCGAGGGAGGGGGAGGAGGGGGCTCTTGGTTCTGAGAAAGGACTGCCCATCCACTGGCCAAAAAAAGCCACATCCCTGACCCCCCGGGCCTTTGTTGAGTTGAGTAGATAGAGTGACCATTCAGTTTAGGGTTCCCACGTCCCCTGCGATGCACTGGCTGTTAGTGAGTGCTTTCCACCCAGGGTGGAAAATGGCCTTGGTGGAGAGAAGTGTCCCTGCAGAATGGCACAAACTGCCACCAGAGACTGGGACAAAGGAACTGGCGTCTGTGCTTGCTCTTGGTGGACAGGTGCAGTGAGGACTGGGCTGGACCCTTCAGAGCTGCCCAGCGCAGCCTGAGAAATGGAACCGTCCCTTGCGTGGGCCGAGCACCAGAGCTCAGCAGTTAGAGATGCCCATTGTGGCATCAGGACAGTGGTCCACCCCCACCCCAACCTCTCTTCCCTGTGCTCCTAGGCCAGCAGCTCCTGGGGCTTGGGTAGCTCATCTGTCGATGGGAGAGTAGGAGAGCCACTGTAAGAAAGAAATGGGTGGGATGAGGATTACGAAGTGTACTCATGGCCTGAGGCGTAGTGAGCTTGCCGTCAGTCCTAAGGAAAGACCAAAGCTTTCCATCAGAAAAATTACTGATGTTTAATAATCTGCCACAAATGGGCTCCTTAAACGCTACCAATGTCCACTAAAAGAAAAAGCCTTTGGAATGCAAGACACATCCTTCCACCTTCCACGTGTTCCTGGATTCTAAGCGCTGAGGACCAGGCTGTCTGCATGGTGACTTGAGGACTTGAGGAGCACGGACACCGGTCCGGGTTCCGTGGCGGTCCTCCCGCCTCGGGCAGCCAGGCAGAAGCATGTTCACGGCCCCCTGGCTTAGCTTTTGCTTCAGCTGGTTGTCAACTCCTTAGGTATCCTGATGTTCCTTACAGCCGATGCCGGGTGGTGAACAGGGTGGGGCTCTTTCTAGAACCCTAGAACGCTCGATCTTGCTAGTTCACTGTCCAGTGAGGCAGCACAAGACGAGGAGGCAGACGTGGCTCTGTTAAGAGATCTGAATAGAGGCCGGTGAGAGCCTGTGCCCACCGAGACGAACAGACGCAACAGAGCACACCGTGAAACTAGCAGAGAAGACAGTAGTGACAGTTCCGGGGTTTTCCCACGATTTCTCGCTTCTCGTGTGTTCATTCCTTTCCTCAGTCATGTATTCACAGGATGGTGGTAATAGGCACCCACTGGGTAAGAAAATTCCAGATCGGGGAGAAAAAAACCCTAAAAATGAAACAGATTTAATCCATTCAACTTACTATTCTTTCTGCAAGCTAATTGCTGGAATTCAAATTTAACTAAAACATGTTTGGCTCACGGAACACCATCCTTCCCTGGGAACCCAGCTGGAGAACCACTGAAATAATATATGTGAGGCGCCTAAAAGCCTGGCACACGGTCAAGATTCAAAAGTCTGTTTCTTTCCGTGTTTGCTGTGAACCTGCCTTCTGGCTTCCCAGTAGCGTCTGTATGACCAGCATGGAGCACAGGGTTAAGCCCTGTCTTTGTATCCTCTCACTGAAGCCTATGGAAGTTCCCTGTTTATGGAAGGAGAAACGGAGTCTCACCAAGGGGGAGTGACTGGTCCAAGGTCACATAACTCACAAGGGGTGAAACTGGGACTCGAAACTCAGTGTTCGTCCCCCCTGCCCCGGCCACCCCAAAGTCATACTTTTCTCCCTTCCTGGCCGAGCCTTGGAGGGTTTTTCTGATCTGCTTAATTAAGACGAAGCAATACCTGCACTCTGAGAGGCTGAAAGTATTTTAAACTGTTTGGACCTTTGAGATGCAAACGTTCCATTTGATTAATATTGTGGTTTTTTTTGTTTTGTTTTGTCTTCCTCCTGAACTTTCCACTCAATCCCTTAGAACACAAACTTGACTACCCAGGAGCATGAGAACATCATTGTGGTAAGTCTCTCGAGATCCCTCTCCCTCTGTCCACCTCCCGGTGCCCACAGTTCTTGCCCCTGTCTGAGTGGTTTCTCGAAGCACTGGTGTAATCCACTAGCATGGCGACCTCACTCAGTCTTATCTCTTCTGTCAAGCCAGAGGTGTCTGCCTCCTGCCTTTGCACATTTCAGAGCCCCAGTTGATTGGGGGGGGGGGGTATGTAATTATCAGTCTTTGAGGTTTGTAACAAATGTGTCTTCATTGCCTCCTCCTTCCTGAGTGTGCTGGGGGGAGTTGAAGGCAGATGGCAGAGAGCATATAATTTATTCAGAGGCATAACCCTATTAGCTGAGAGGTGAACGGTCTCTTTCTTGCCCCAGGACATGTCTCCTAATTAATCCACGTATAGAACCTGGATTTAATTCTCTCCGGTACACAAAGTGAGGTCATATTTTCTGGGACTTGACTATGATGTAAGCATCTTTGGGGTAAAATAGCTTCCTGGGTGATTTTAAGCTCTGAAATGTGACTCTCACTAGAGAGAAATGAGGTTGCAGCTACTGGGTGCCAAGCACTGTGCCATGTATTTGAATCCATAGGTAATGAAGACAGGCCCTGCTCTCAAGGGGTTTATCATCTATTGTAGGAAGACAGATGAGACCACGGCAAAAACAGGATGTAGCGTAGAGAGGAGAGTGATAAACTCACCTGGGAGAAAAAGCCATGGTGCTTCCTGGAGGCAATGATGTCTGAACTGGGTTTTGAAGGATCAATAGGAGTTCGCCAGATGGCAAAACAGAGTAAAGGCATTCCAGAGAGAGGAAACAAAACATACATAGAGATGTAAAACAACATGGTATATTCTGGAAGCTTCAGCATTGCTGGAGTGTAAAGTATAAGGACGTGGGAAATAGGGAGGCAGAACTTGAGATGGAAGTGAGAGGCAAAGCCTTATGTGCCCAGAAAGGACATTCACCTGCCCCAGCGGTCCTGCGGCTACAGCCTTTGAAACAGGGGCAAGATGCCAACTCCATGCCCCTCTGAGCCAAATGAAGATTTCGTAGGCCCACCCACTTGGTCCTGGCGAGCCCAGCCTGGAGATTCACCCTCCTCACCCCAGCTGGGTCTTGTGGGTACCAAAGGAGGTGGGTCCTAGGCTACTTATTATGGAGAGTAAAGGCAGCAGCTTCTGTGGAGTCCCGCCTACAGTGGCTGGCACATAGTAGGTGCTCAGTGAGAATTTGCTAAAAATATAAAAGTTTTTTTTTTCTTCCCCTTGCTGCATCCTGACCGCTCATTGCCTTCTCTTGCCAGAACAGGGAAATTGTCAACCTGGGTGCCCCCACTCACCACCACCACCTTTCTCTGGTATACCACTAATTAATAAATTCATTTAGCAAACATTTGTTGACATGTAAGGACAATTATGTACCAAACACTAGTCTCTGTTCCACAGACCTAGAGCTGCTATTGAGAGATTTATTGTGTGCTAGAAGAACCTGGCAGGTCGGCAGGTAATCAGGGGTTGAGATTCGTTTGGAGTGTTAGGGGAGCACAGCGGGCAGATACCTAACATCCTCTGCCAGTGAGGGTGCTGGGAGGAGGATGACAGAGGGCTTGCAGGTGGAGGTGAGCAAACTGGATCTTAAAGGAGGGGTAGGAGTGCTCCAGGGAAAGGCAGTCCAGGGAGAGGGCCCAGCACGAGAAAGAGCAGTGAGACTGGCAAAGCAGGCGGGGACATGGGTACCAGGGAAGGAGTTGACCTCTTCCTCTCCCTGCTGGCACCACCTTGTGGATCCACCCCCCTCCTCCCACTCTTCAACCCTGGAAGAAGGGTGAGGGCTTTGGACTGGGGATGAGCCTGGGAAAGGAATTTTGATCTGAGCGATCCAGGCTGCTTTTATCCAGCTAATTTGGTGAGGCTGACCCCTTAATTGGGCTGGGCTAAGCTCCCCTGCTCAACAAACGTGCCTGAGAACAGAGAAGAATTTGATCTGAGGTCTGCCCCTCAGCCCTGCATTTTACAGCCTCCCTTTCAGTGCTCTTGATTACCAGTGCCCTTATCATTACTGGGAAGCCGCCTTCCTGTCCAGAGATGACATTATCTGATTTGACCGGTTAGCAATTAGTCTTCTCCCAGCGGGGCTTGGTATGTTTTTAATGTGCTTGCTTTTCAGAAATACTTTCACAAGTAACCTGAGTTGGTTTTATGCGGCCCATCTGGGGTCAGGCATCTCTGTGCTGGTAACAGTTGGCACATCACTGGACGTGCATGGACCTGGAGCCCAGACCCCAGCTGCTGTCCCACGTGCTTGAAGCTCAACGTGAGCTCAGGTTTTGAGCCGGTGTAGACCCCAGGCCCACCCCTCACTAGCTGTGACCTTGGGCAAGTAATGGGAGAACTTTAGTTTTATTGTATTGAAAATATCTTTAAGATATTCTTTAAAAATACTTTTGCAAGTATTCCATGAAAATAATTTCATTAGAAGGAAGGAAGGAAGAAAGAAAAGGATTTCACCCCATCCCACTGTCCTCTTCAGAGAAAGCCCCTGGCGGTTTTCAGGTAGTGACAACAAGCCACACGGATACGGTTGTGTTTTTATTTTTTGTTTTCAGCATTGATGATGCGTTGCTAGATGGGCTGTTCTGCGTTGGTTCTTTCATGTAACACGTCTTGAGGATGCTTTCAAGTCTCTTCGTGCCTATGTGCCCCACGGTTTCCAGCCTCAGTACCTGTGACATTTGGGGATGAATCATTGCTTCTGGGGGGCCGGTCCTGGGCATTGTAGATGTTGAGCAGCATCCCTGCCTCAACCCACTAGATGCCGGTAACCCTTCCCTGTCGTGATGATCAAAAATATGTCTCCAGATGTGCCAACATCCCCTGGGAGGCAGAGTCAACCCTAGTTGAGGACTGTTGGCCCACCGCATACTTTCTACTGGCTCTAAAATATTTTTATTTAACCAGATGGCCATTCCGATCATTTTCAGCTGATATGACACATTAAGGCTCAGTCTTCTCATCTATGAAATGGGTATGGCAACAGTGCCTTTCTTACAGGGTTCCTGGGAAGGTTCAGTGAGCTAATGCACCTAACATGCTCAGCCAAGGACCAGGCTTATAGAAAGAGTCCACGGAATATAAGCTCTTTTTATTAATCATACCTTTTAAAATAATCATAATTCTGTGACCAGGGCAGGACTGGTAACCTCCCCTACCCTCTGTGTCTTCATCTGTACAAATGGGAATAGCTCCTGCTTGACCTCACCGAGTTGTCATGAGGATCAAATGAGATAATAGCATGGAAGCACAGAGTCGCCGCCTGACGCCCACTCTGGGCACTTAAATCCTCCCCACTCCTTTATTCCTTGACTCATTCTCGAGAAAGAGGGGCCTGACATGAGTGAAGGGGCTCAACCCTGCACATGATCTACACCGTGCTGGATGGTGCTGCCCTAGACAGGTAAGACCCTGGGCCATTGGTCAGCCTGGTTGGTGGTGCTCCACGGCAGAACCTCAGTATCACTGACGTCCTCCTTCACAGAGGTGCATTCGCAGAAGTGAGGTCATCTTTTCCTGGCATCCAATGATGCTTCCTTTCCCTGATGGTCCCAAGCCTGGTGGAAGGCCTTGCTGAGAGGTCCCTACCCATATCCAAAGGCATCACTGCAGGGAACAGACCACCGAGACCTCTGAGATTGAACAGGCAGGGTCTGAGCCTGGAAGTCAGTGATGGGGAGAGCGTGTCCTCACAGAGCCCTCCTGGGAGTCGGGCAGAATCGCCACCCCTTGCCGCTGTGTCCAGTACTGCCCAAGACAGCCCCCCCCCCACCCCGCCCTGTGATGGTGGCAATGGGCTTATCCTGAGGCTGAGACTCCAAAGCTTCTACAGTTTTCTCTTACCAAATTCCCCCAGCAACCCTGTGAGTTAGTCACTCTAGTTCTCCGCATTTTATAGGCTAGAAGACTGATGCCCAGAGAGGTTGAGTTGCTCACTCAGGGTCACCCAGCCTGGCAGTCTTGGTGCTGGGTCCTGGGTCTCCTTGTTGCTAATCTTGTGCTCAGTGTGCAAACAGGAACATGAGTGGACTTCACATAGGCATTAACCATCCAGTAACTAACATTTATGGAGAGCCGGCCCTATTTCAGACTTTATACCAAGGGTCCTCAATTCAGTGTAGTTTTGTCCCCCATGAGGCATTTGGCAATGTCTGGACACGTTTCTTTTCAATTGTTCAAATATTTTATTTGGATCTGAAGTTTAGCACAATCATTAAAACAGAAATTATGAAAGGGGAGGAAAAATCAAGAATCAGACGTCGTTCGGGCCATGGGAACCTTGTAGAGAAATGGCAGTGGGAACCAGTAAGAACTGTACAGCTAGCCTAAGAAGCCTTGGTGAGACATGAACTCAGCGGGTGTTAGATATTCCAACCTGCCTTAATATGAAATGAAGCGTGTCAGGAGGCTTTCTGATTGTCACAACTGGCTCAGGCTTGTGACTGACATCCAGTGGGTTGAGAACAAGGTCCCTGCTAAACGTCCCGCAGACCTTCCCTCCCGTTCTTCTGGTGACTCTCTGCTCCGCTTCCCAGGTGGGAACTCGGGCGTTAAGAGAGAGGAAATAGCTTGTTCTAACAGGCTGTAGTAAGCGCCAGAACTAGAACTCGCACCCAGGACCCTGCCCCCAGTGCCTGGGCTTAGAACCACGATCCTGTCCTGCCCCGTAGTCCGGGCCTGTTGAACTGAGGGCGACGTGGATGGACGTCAGCAGGTTACGGAGCCCCTGTTGGTGTGCATTTGCCCGGAGGGCAGCCCCGAGCTTCTGTCAGCGTCTCAGTGGGTGCCATGAGCCCCCCGACCCCAGTAGGATTCATTTCTAGAGATTCCAGCTGACATTTGTTTGTGATCTTTCAGGCAATTGCTCCTTTGCTGGAAAACAACCATCCACCACCAGATCTCTGTGAATTCTTTTGCAAGGTATGGCATGACTGAAATGGGGCTGTATTTGCAGGAGGCAGCCTGCCTCCGTGTGTGCGTGCTGGGGGTTGGCTTTGCATAATTTGCTGAAAACCCAGGCTTCCCCGACCTGGGTCAGGGCCCCAGACAGAGCCAGAAGGCAAGTCAGGCAGCCTGTTCTTAGAGTTACCGCTGTCTTCTGCCAGACAGGTGATAAACAAGGCCCAGGGTCCAAACCAGTGGGTCAGCGAGGAGCATCCGGCTTTTCCTTGGAATATCTTGGTAGCTGTCTTGGGAGAAATTTGTAGCAGATTTTCTGGGTTCCTGACGTCAGAGCTGGTTTATTATTAGCCACGGCTCCTCTGAGCACCGGCTGGCCCACAGTGGGACACAGCCATGGGGCTTTTCCTGAACAGGGAAAACAGACAGGGGATGCCAGGTTAGCCGGGAGGAGCCACAGAGCAGCCCATCCTCTCCCTTGGACCCAGAGTCAGGCTTGCAGGGGGTTTATACGGAATGTGCCCAGGGCATGTCGGGTACCAGCCATCCCTCACTCTGAAAACACACTGCAGCGGTCAGGGGGCTGAACCAGCAGGCAATCCTGTTTTGTTCTTTGCTTGTGATTTTTTTTTTTTTTTTTTACTGTAATGATTTGATGTCCTTGGAGAGACGCAGGGTTTGCTGCTACCCCAGCGCTCTCTGCTCTAGCACCTGCTGACTCACTTCACTCATGCTCCTTCCCCCCCTGGCTCCTTCCACAGCCACATCCTGTCCTTGGCGGGGGGCGTGGACTACGTCCACCAGCGAGATGAGCACGTGGCCTGGCAAAGCAGGCACCTGGGAGGCCCGGTGGTTTCTGGAGGGAAGGGGACTGCCGTGCCCTACTGCCTCTGCACCCCGCTCAGAGAGCATGCTCTCTGTTTGTCAGAGGGCAGGAGCTTCAGAGATTATGGAGACAGGGTCGCATTATCCCCTTGGGCCCAGTGTCTCCAGCAGGAGACCTTTTCCGGCAACCCACAGAGCAGAGGCTGGACCCAGCCTGCCGGCCCAAAGCACCCGGGTGTGTTCTCAGTGTGCGTGTCCGGGCACATGGCAGTGTGTGCCTTCTGGGCCAAGCAGGGGAGCGTCTGGCTGCGTCTGTGCCCGTGTGTGTGCAAGAGCATGTCGGCACAGGCATCAGGCTTCGGTGCTGAATCGAGGCCCCCTCTTCCCTGGGCCTCAGTGAGGCTAAAGACAACTAGAACACGGGCCTTCTTGGACCCCAGCGCTGCCCCAAGCGGGGTGGGGTCACATATCCCAGCGCTTCATATCCTGCTCCCTTACCTATCACAGCAGGTCATCTCCTCTCTCAATATTTTGTCCGATTTCATCCAAATCTGTTCCTTGTTCTCCTCTCAAGCTGTATGGTTTCTCCCAGATTCCATGGTTTTCAAACTCTTGTTCTTTTAAAACAGTGGACCTTCGTTCAAAGTAAATTATACCTGCGGGTTCCTGGTTTGAAAACTCATGATGTAGAAGAAACCATTCTTTTTGGCATTTCCTGATAGAACTCCAGTTGGTCCTGAAATAGAAGGCTGCCCTGTCCTTTGGAGGGAAGGGTCTGAGCCTAGGGGGCCCGTGAGCCTTCAGGCTGTTTTCCCTCGGGGCGTCGGAGTCCCAACCTCAGTGCCCCACCCACCAGGCGGCCTGCCCAGAGAGGAGAGCTTGAGGGGGAACGAAGCAGCCCCCCCTGGGTCCACGCTGGGACACACTGGACATGCCTGGGCAGCCTCGCCTCCCAGATTTCAAAACCAGAACCCTAAGATCTGAGGAAAGCTTTATTGATCTTGGATTTCCCAGGAAAGCCCTGATTTCTAATATCCCACGTCCAGGGTCCTCATCCAGGGGTTAGAAACTCAGCACTTTCAGGCCCGGGCAGGTTATAAATATGTTCGCGTGGTGGGGTTTCCTCTGTTCCACCCGTAGGCCTTCAATTTCAGTTTGAAAAACAAAACACGCTGATGAAGTAAAGTACATCTGAGAGGGGCATTTGATGGCCTGCAGACTGCTGCCAGCCTATCAAAGCCAACAACTGAAAAGCCACAGAACTTTCAAGATTCTGGGGTCCAGACACTAAACCCCTGGCATTCTTGCACCCAGTTTTCAAGAGACTTCTCTGTTAGACCATGTCCTCTGATCCTCAGTGCTACAGTGTCGCTGGGGTAAATCAGGACATGTCCAAGTGGACCCCTGTCTGTACCATCTGATGAAAGCTCAGACTTTATTTATTATTTCTTTTTACAGATTTGATTTAATCTTCAGAGATTAGAGAGAGCAAGGGAGAGCATGTGCTGGAGAGGCAGAGGGAGAGGGAGAAGCAGGCTTCCCGCCGAGCAGGGAGCCCAATGCGGGGCTTGATCCCAGGACCCTGGGATCATGACCTGAGCCGAAGGCAGACGCTTCACCGACGGAGCCACCCAGGAGCCCCACAGTCTCAGACTTTAAGAGCCACAGGCCACAGGCTTGTGGACCCTGCCAGGCTCGGTGCTGACCGTGCCCTTCTGTCTCCCCAGCACTGCAGAGAGCGGCCCCGGTCCATGGTGGTCATCGAAGTGTTCACTCCCGTGGTCCAGAGAATCCTCAAGCATAACATGGTGAGTTCCCCTGACGGCCCGACTGCAAAGCCAGTCTTTCACTTTTCCCCAGCCTTTCGCCATTCCCCAAAGATTTGGGGAACAGGGTTGGCTGGCCTGGCCTGACAGCCAGGGACTGGGGTTCGGATTCTGTTGAAATTGGGGTGTTCATGCAGCCTGTCCTCCTTGGCTCTATCTTCTTCTCTTAAGGCAACGGGAAGAATCTTTCTCACAGTAAAAATAACAAAAATGTGTGGCTGGGGGAGAAGAGAGGAGTTTCCCATGCGTAGAGTCACAAATGTCTACAGACACTCCACCCTCAAGGAGGGGGTGGTGCTCCTTACATCTTCAGTGGGGCCATGCACACAGTGTCCTTCCAGAGGCACAGTATGGAAAAGGGCAGAAGAGTGACCGTATGATGGAGAAACCTAAAGTCACAGCCGCGGCCAGTGGGTCACGGTCAGCAGCCACAGTCACGTGAGGGCCTGCACCCTGAGACGGTGTGATGAACAGGGCGCCGTACCTCTCGGGGCTTCTTCTCTTAAACCCACAGGCCCCGTCTAGTCCTGAGAGAAACATCAGTCCGGTCCCCGTTGAGGGACATTCCGCAAAACACCTGACCAGCACTGCTCAAAACTGTCCAGGCCGTCAAGACCAAGAAAAGCCTAGAAACTGTCACAGCCCAGAGGAGCCTAAGGCGACAGGAGGACTAAATGTAGCGGGGTGTCCTGCATGGGATCCTGGAACTGCAAAAAGACATCAGGGCAAACAAAGGCAATCTGAATAGAATATAGGCTTGGCAGTGTGCATGATGGCCCCTTGGCGTTCTTATCAGTTCAGTGAGAGTAGCAAATATCATTGCTTTCTCCATGTTGCACGTGGGGAAACTGAGGCTTAGCAGAGTCCACTCACTGGCCCCAGGGGCCACAGCTATGAATGAGAATAACATCTACTCATAGATATTTACTGAGCACCTTCTGAGAGCCAGACACAGTGTGACACTCAAGCATGTCACATGTCATTTAACCCTTATGAAAGCCCGGGAGCCCCTTTCACAGGTGAGGTGTCTGGGACCCAGAAAGGCTCCATAGGTCACTCAGGGAACCGATGAGCAGCCCGAGTGTTCGTGAGGGGTGTCGAGGAGCAGCCGTCGAACGTGAGGGCCAGTGTTCCAATGTGCTCTACAGAGCCAGCCACCAACGTGGACTCAGGTCACCTGGGTGATAGGGAGGCATCTCTGTAATTTCAGCACACGTTGGGGCACTGAGTCGGATGTGGGGTACCCACGACAGCTGCCCCCCTGCCCTGTCAAGATTCAGCATGTGAAGACCACTGTGTCTCCACACCAATGCCCTAGCCCCAATCCGGACAGAAGTGTATGACACGTGTCCTCTTATGCCCCAGCCACACTCACGGCAGACATCATCAATCGATTACAGCACTCTTCCTGCCGAGCCCAGAGAGAGCTTCCGAATCTGTCTCAACACAGCATTCCAGCAGCCACTCGTAATTGAATGGTGCCGGCGCCTTATGGGTTCTCTTTACCGCTGTCTGCCCTGGGCAGTCCCACACCATAATTGAATTGCTGCTTATTTCTGAGATCTTCCCTGATTTGAGATAAATACATTTCTGATTTACACAACACAGTGGAGAGGAGAATACTCCATCCAGTTTTTTCTCCGGGACTAACAAAGAAGTTCCCCATGGTAGTGGTGGAGAGCGTGAATTTGTGCCCTAATTTGGGCTTTTATCGTTTCAGGGGCACTCTCTGGCTTCAGGCTTCTGAGAGGAAAAGATTTCTGATTGTTCACTTTAAAATCACTGTGGAGGTGCTGTGAGGTGAGGGCTGTACCCTTTCAGAGTCTAGAGCAGAGATTTCAGAGTTTCTTTTGCAAAGGACCTTCCTATCACAACTTACCAATGACAGAGCCAAACCCCCAGGGTATACGGTCTGGGCCCATGCTTCCTCGGGCACAGAAACATTTTTGCATATTCTGTGGTCATCAATAGGCTGTTTAATAACGCTTCTTTTGGGACATCTGATTTCCGAGGGAAGAGAGTCCAGATTCAGGCCAGCCTCCCACGGCTTAACCATACAACATCTCCCTTATATTTGGTTAGTTTTATGGGCCTAGAGTGTTGACCATGTAATAATTTTCTGGATAAAATTCAGAACAGCTACAGGGCAAATCCACAGTTTATAGCATCTGTTGTGGCCTGGCAGAGATCAGGGACCTTCAGGCATGAATTCTCACTTGACGTTTAAAGAGCTCCCCAAGTGATCCTCAGCGTCTGGGGATACAATAAAGCTCCGTGTCGCTCTTTGCTCTTGGCATCTAATTACATGCCATGAACTCTGTTAGAAGAGAACTGTAGATAGGAGGGAGGGGGATTAGTCCCTTCCGCAGAAGGACAGAAGCGTGTGAAGCAGTGATCGTGGCTTCTGTAGGCACAGGAAGCATGGCCGACCTTTGGTGTCACTCATTTCGTGCTCCCTACAGCTTATTTCCCGGCCATGGGCCAGAGGCACTATTTTGAGCTGGGGCTCTCGGCTGGCGTGGGGAGTCTAGTCACTGGTTAATGGGTGTGCCTCGCCTGCCACCAGCTACACGACTGTCAGCATCACACGAGCAGTGGCTTCTCTTCACTGTGCGTGCAGCGTTTCTCATTAAGGAGGCACTGGAACATTTGGGAGCTGGAGGAAATCATAGACCACAGAGGTGTTCTGGGACTTTAGAGCTTCCCTTATCCTCAGGGTGCATCTTTTGGCAAATGTATCACGTGTCCCATTTCATGGATGAGTACACTGAATCTTAGAGAAGAGTCTCAGAGAGTGTTACTCACAGGACTGAAATAAAAATTAGACACAAATGGAAGCAGTCCTCTAGAATGTTCTCCTGGAGATTCTAAACAGTTTGTTAAACTGTATTCTCAAGAGTGGCTGTGGTCCCTGGTGGACCACTGGGTGATCTGACCACCTACTTTCCAGGAGGAGCATTTTTAGCTTTTCCAAAGAGGTAAAATGTCCCTCCCCCACACGTCAAAAGGCCATCAGACCCATCTCATAATGTTCATTTCCAAGAAAATGATCTTGACTCTCCAGAAATCTAATAGCAAAGATAAGGACGGTTATCTTTAGCAGGGTTGAGTTAGAGCAGTTTTCATGGACTCCTAAACCCTTCGAAGTGAAAGGGGGGCATAGAGATCCATGGTTACAGCCCTCACTCCACAACAGAGACAGTGAGGCCCCGAGAGGGCCACACAGCCTTCCTGTCACCTTTTTCCAGGGCACTAGAGGACTTGAGAGGTCTTCCTCAGTTTGGAAGCACCATCAAGTTTCAGTTTTTCTTCAGGCAAGGGCCTTATCTAGCCCAGTGCTCTGTGTATGTGAGTGTGTGTGTTTGTGTGGGTGTGGATCTGTGCACACACATGCATGTATATTCCTGCTGAGCTTTCCCCGTGGCTTCTGCCTCCCTCCTTATGTAAGAGCATCAGCCTGGTAGGGAGAATGGAAGCAATGAGGCCCCTCATTGTCTTGAGGACTATAATTCAGCCTCTTTACTCCAGGTGAAGAAGCACCAAGCAGCTCTAGAAACTTGCTTCTGGGAGCAGGCAGGAGGGCTGGGAGGGACGTGTTCTCCTCTGAGCTTTCTCGAGGGCCCGCAGAATCAGTTAGAGCCGTGAAGAAAGTCTCCGCTGTTTTATCTTAAATGAGAATGCCGATCCAATTGCTTTTTACTGAATGGGTTCCACTTAGTGGGGGCAGGAAGAGGGCAGATGAGTTTGGAGATGTGACTCTTCCCCCTGATGTCTGGCGGGTCACCCTCCTCACACACCACACCTCACGCCCCTCCTGACTGTTCACAACCCAGCCCCCAGGTTGAGAAGTCCATGAATAGAACTGCTGTCCCAGCAGGCCTCACCCCTCCAGGCCCCTACCCGTGAATGTGGGAACGGACATAGGGTCCTTTCCTGGCTATCATGTCTCCTCTCCTGACAAGTCCCTGAGCCAGCAGCCACCAAGGAGATGTGCCTCTCCACTCAGCTGAACTCTGTCACCTGCCCCGTTGATGTGCTGTGTTGGGGAAGCGAAGAAAACAGAGGTGTCCAATGATGCCACTCATTGGAGCAGGGAGGAGTCCCTCTGTCCTTGCTCAGTGCCCCTTAGTTAGGCATCAGCTGAGGTGAGATGCGGGGACTCAGGCCGAGCCGGTGGATGGAAACGTCCTCGCCCCTGGGGGCTGGGACCTTCCCCTAACATTGAGCAGATTTACCCTCTCCTCCCTCCTGCCTGCGCCCCTTTCACATGGACCGCCAGACACATACCAGCCACTCACTGTCCAGGGCACACACCTCCATTCCCAGGCCATAAGCCTCACACACACATACATGATCTGTCTCTCACACACACCTCCTCCCACACCCTACGTCTCTCACACACACCCCCTCCCACACCCTACGTCTCTCACACACACCTCCTCCCGCACTGCATGTCTCTCACACACACACATACATCTCCTCCCACGCCCCACATCTCTCTCACACACACACATATCTCCTCCCATACCCTACGTCTCTCACACATACCCTCCCACACCCTATGTCTCTCACACACCTCCTCCCGCACCGCATGTCTCTGTCACACACACACCTCCTCCCACAACCCAAATCTCTCTCTCTCACACACACACACACCCCCTCCCACACCCTACGTCTCACACACCCCCTCCCACACCCTACGTCTCTCACACACCTCCTCCCACACCCTACGTCTCTCACACACACCTCCTCCCCCACCCCATGTCTCTCACACATACACACATATCTCCTCCCACACTCATCTCTCACACACACACTCTCACACGCCACCTCTCTCACACACACACACACACACCTCCTCCCACACCCCACGTCCCTCACACACACACTCCCACACCCCACGTCCCTCACACACACACTCCCATACCCCACGTCTCTCACACACACACTCCCATACCCCACGTCTCTCACACACACACCTCCCATACCCTACGTCTCTCACACATACCCTCCCACACCCCACATCTCTCACACACACACCATTACCTGTCCAGCCAGCCTTTTTCAAGCTTGTTTGTCAGTCTCATCTGCCTTTTTGATTCCATGTGCCATATGAGGGTAGCTTTTTCTACAACTAAAAGAACAAAGTCCTCAAATGCTCCTTAAGTATTTTCTGGAACCCAGTGGGTGGCTGGGGTCAGCCTAGAGCAGGAGGGAGCCATCTGAGGAGCCCATGACTGGGAACCAGCTTCACCCTGGGACCATGTCTGGTTCTTATACCTCCTTCCTGCCCTCTTGCTCAGGAGAAGAAACAGGGCAGCCATCGAAGGGTGTAAGCAAGAGTGTGACGAGGCCAGGTTCTTGAAGTGAAAAACGTGTGCTTTCTAGAAAGAGGAGTCGCTGGTGTCTCCCCGTTGCCTTCCACACCAACAGCTGTGGGCAGAGCAGGGTCCCGTGGCCCCTTCTGGGATCCTGGCCTCCTCTGCAGCCTCTCCCAGCTTCTCCCTCTGCTCTCTCTGCAGGACTTTGGGAAGTGCCCACGACTGAGGCTGTTTACTCAGGAGTACATCCTCGCCTTGAACGAGCTCAACGCGGGGATGGAGGTGGTAAAGAAGTTCATTCAAAGGTGGGTTTCCCAGCTGGACCCCCTCCCCACCTTGTCTACCAGCCAACTCTCCTCTCCACCCCAGAACTACTCACGCCACTGATGCCCAGAGAGAAGCTGCTTGTATTCAAAGGCCCCAAGCATCTCATCTTCTAAGGGGGTCATCTGGGTCCTCCTGACCCCATGTGGTCTGAGACGCTTACAAGCTGTGTGACATTGAGCCAGTTGCTGTACCTCTCTGGTCCTGTTTACTCCACTGTCCACAGGGGTTGTTGCATAATTAAATAAGGTGATACATGAGGAAGCCCCTGGCACAGTACCTGACACACAGTAGGCACTCAGGAAATGGTACCAGTTCTAAATAATAGGATTGTTTCCATGGGTCCCACACCTTCCACACCTTTGGTTTACGAGTGCTGGGTGCGTCAGGGGATAGTGCCCCGCTAGTCCCAGAGGTTCATCATGGGGAGGATTTGAACAACCACCTCCCAAACCTGGGCAAGAGGAAACCAGATCTTCTGGTTCTTACTCACTTCTGGTGTTTTGGAGGAGAGGGCTTGCTTTTTCTTTGATTTTAAAATTTTCTTCCTGTGTCTCTGTCTCCTTATCTGGAAAATGAGAACCATAGTACTTGCTTCATTCGGTTAATGCGCAGGTTCAGTGAGCTAATATCCGTAAACACTAGGAACTGTGTCAGCACGATGCAGATGTCAACGATCACTGTCATGACTCTTCTCATTTTTTAAGAAAATCAAAAGAGCCTGTTTAAGCTGGTTTTGAAGCTTATGTGTTTCCTAAGTATACTCACCTAGAACTCACAAAGCATTTCTAAATCCCAAGGAAGTATCCCTCTGCTGGAGCCCTGGTGACTTCAGGGTCCCTTTAAAGTACCCAGTTATGGTTTTGTAAAATTTTTTCAGGTTAGGCCTCTCTTATCAGTGGCCACAGTGATTTTCCAGGAGTGTTACAGATATTATGCCCAGGCTCCAGACAGCCCTGGAGTAGCGGTATTGGCCTCCATTTTACAGATGAGAAAACTGAGGCACAGCGATAGCCATAATGAATAACAACAGCTGGCGTCCAGGGAGGACTTAGCAAATGTGTCCCAGGCCCTGTGCTGGGCCAGGTTGACCATAATCGTTTTTCTTTCAAGGCAGGCCACTTTTGAGACTAAAACGTGGTATTATGAATTATTATTCCAGAACCCCCAGGCATAAATATGACTGTCCCGGGATATATGACTACCGTATGCTAAGTCTTTCCGTGAATCAGAAAACTGGGTTGTTCTCCGAACCCACTGAGGAGGGCTCCACCCCCCCCACCCGCCTCCCTGCGTGGGCGCTGATTCTGCAGCGGCCTGCTCACCCTGTGCTCTGCTCTCTTCCAGCATGCACGGCCCCACGGGGCACTGCCCCCACCCCCGGGTCCTGCCCAACCTGGTGGCCGTGTGCCTGGCTGCCATCTACTCCTGCTATGAAGAGTTCATCAACAGGTCAGCCCTGCTACCCCCAGGAGAGCCCGCCACCACCTCGGGATGGGGACTGCGAAGGGCCGAGTCACCGGGGAGGGCGGCTTGTACCTTGGCCAGCCAGGCAGGTGGAGTGGCGTTTGCTGGGACTGCCCCCAGGGTGTTTGCCAAGCCCGTGCGCTCCCCGATTCCCGGCCCTGAACCTAGCGATGTTACTGGAAAAGCAAACACTGTGAATCAACACTGGGAACTGCGAGACTGTTGTGTTGCCTTGGCTTTAGGAGCAAGTGTTTGATGCTGAAGATTTCTCACCACCTGGTGCGTGTGACACATCGGGGCTTGTGTGAGAGAGAGCGTGCGTGCATGCAGGTGCAGGTGTGCGTGGGGGGTGAGTGTGCGTGTGCGTGCGTGTGCACAAGGGCTAGCAGGAGGTTTTCTCCCTTGTCTCCATCGGCAGAATTTCATTTTGCCCGTGGTGCGCATGGATTTCTTGAGTGCCTGTGCGCGTCAGGCACGGTTTCCGGTGCTACTGGGGGAGATGGCCTACGATACGCAGGATCGAGTCAGATGGGGAAAGCCTGCGAAAACAAGAAACTGGAACCATATGCTAGCGTGTGGCCAGAAAAGGGTATGGCAGGGTCACTGCCTTGGGTCCTCCAGGGTTTGGGGGCAAGCAGCTTATTAGGGACGTAACCTGAGGAAGCTCTGGGAGGGGACCCAAGAAGGGAGGACAGCCAGTAGGTCTGATGACCATGGCAGGCACCTGCACATTCCCCACTGGGACCCCCCCCCCAGGAGACTGTGTGGAACATGTCTGAGCCATTCCCCTGAGGGATGATGGCGCTGGGGTAGTTACTTACCAGCTTCCATTCTTTCCTGAGGTTCACTCCTGGGATGCAGAGTGACGCAGTTGCCACTAGTCTGTGTAGAACTTTGTACAGTGACCTCTGGGGTCATTAGAGAGGATGTGATGCGCAGGACCAGGTAGCATCTGTTGTAGCTCTCCTGTCCAGTTGTTCCAGTGCTACACTGCACAATTCCCAGGGGACCAAAGTGTGTGTAGCTAGAGCTACTGTCCTTAGAGAGAAGGTGGTGGAGCATTCTGACACACAGAAAATCTGCACAAATGAAGCTTCTAAAACAAACACTGTACTTTGAGATCTTGGGGAAGGGGCCACAAAAGCTCATTAAGGGCATATTTTCTCATGACAGGACTCGAGAAGGGAGGATGACTGTTTTCAATGTCCGTAGCCCTAGGTCCTGATATTCAACCGGGACCTCTCCATTCTTAAATCATTTCCCTGTTCAGAAGGAGGTGATAGAACCCCTGGGGCCAGAACATGAAGATGTCATGCAGGGCATTCATAAGTGCTTGTTCTGTGCCCTACAGCATGTTATATTAAAGGCAAAAGAAACAAAAAAGAAGCAGCAGCAGGTCAAAGGGTAGCCCTTGGCTAGTACCACCATCCCGGCATCCCTGTGTGCAGGGACGGTCACTTGCCCTTGGCCTCCCACATTGCAGCTCCGGAGCCGGTCGCCATGCATTTCTAACTCAGGCCACCCTAGGAAGCAGGGAAACCATTCGGACTGTCACACATTCTCAGGCTCCCTTTCCTGCCGAGGCCCGTGACTCATGTCGCCCTCCCAGGGCCCGCTCGGTGGATGCCTGGCCTGGGATTGGGAGGGGGCAGGAGCAGGAAACAGCACCTCCCAGAATTTTCCCTCTGTGTCCTCAAAGCCCTGCCCAAGTGCCCTGGAGCAGGTTTTCCTGACTCAGGAGCAAAAAGCAGAACTCTGGAAATCTCTCTCCCAACACCCACCCCAGGAGAAGGGCAGAGGTGGAAGGGACCAGGATTAGGAACTGCGCACACTGTTGCACAGACAGGGGCCTGGGGACAGCAACAACCAGCTCTCATCCTTCTCATCCCCTCAGCCCTCGTCTGATGACAGCTCATTATGTGCCAGGTGCCGAGGGCACAAAGGTGAACCAGTTAGATGGAGCCCTTGCCCTCCCAGAGCCGACAGGAGATGGAGGAGTAGCGAGGGAGCGTGGTCTGTGTCAGGGAGTTTCAACCTATCCGTCACAAAATCAGCACATTAGCTAAGCACACATGTACCCTGTGACCCAGCTGCTCATAGCTTTGGGGACGTTCATCAGAAGACACGTACAGGAATGTTCTAGCAGCGTTTTTTGTAACAGCCCCTAACTAAAATCTGCCTCCACTCCTACGACAGGAGAATGGATGGACAGCTGGGGTCTGTCCACACAAAGGCACGCTATAGAACAGCAGGAACGGAACGGATGAACGAGAGCAACAAACAGTGAATAAATCTCACAAAGGCAAAACTGGGCAAAAGAAGCCAGACCCAAAAGATACATACAGTTGTGATTCTTTTTCCTGGGATTTCAGGAATAGGCAAAAGGAATGTGTGGTGGTGGGGGCCAGAAGGACGGCCACCTTTGGGGTGGGGCGTTAGCTGGAAGGGCATGAGAGAAGCCTCTGGGTTCCTAGAAACGTTTCCCACCTTGCTCTAGGTCAGTGGCGCTCGGCTGGGCGCAGTTCGGAGCCCCGCGGGTGTTTGGCAAGGTCTGGAGACCTTTTGGGTTACCATAGCCTGGGTGGGAGGAGGGGTGCTGCTGGCATGCAGCGGGGAGAAGTCGGAAATGCTGCTAAGCACGCTACCGTGTCCGGGCAGCCCCCCGCAGAGACTGATCCGGCCCCAAATGTCAGTGGTGCCGAGGTGTAGGAATCCTGATCTGGCGGCTGGGTGTCCCACAAGTAAAAGTTTATGAAGCTTGGCACCTGAGTTTGATGCGCTTCACTGTCCGGGGTGTGCTGGAGTCCTGTTGCATTGGGAAGCGCGTCATTTCCCAATTCCATAGTCCCTGACGGCTCCTTGATAGTTTGGGTTCAGTCGTGGTGGGCATATTCTCACCAAGGACACTGGCAAATGCTGCAGCCGGGGCTCCTTTTTTCTGGCGAGTTCTTGTTGCATCAGCATGAAACTGGTTTTATCTTAAGAGGAAAAGGGGTGCCCAGGCCCCATCCACTGTAATTCGGATCTAATTGGGAGGGCCCTGGCATTGGTTTTTTGGTTTTGGTTTTGGGTTTTTTTGCTCTTGTTCTTTTTTCATTTTAAACTTCCCAGGCAAGTCAAGTGTGTGGCCAGAGTTGAGAACTCCTGCTCTGGGGGGAAGTGAGGGAGGGATCCTTCACAGAGGTGATATTTAAGTTGAGAGCTCCTGGCTCTTGGCAAGGCAAGAAGCAGGACAAGGTGATCTAGGCAGAGGAAACAGCACGTGCAAAGGCCCAGAGGTGCAGATGGAGTTGGCATGAGTCACCTTTTCCATCTCTGCTCCTTAAACACCTGCTTCAGAATCCCTGGGACACGGCATTTCGCGGGTGGGCCCAGGAATTCTCGTTCTTTGCAGCATCCGCAAGCACTCTGCTCCTCGATAAAGGCCGCTGCAGGGGAGAAAGGGAGGGAAACAGTGTGAGAGCAGAGCGAGGGGAAGAGAAGCGAAGATGGAGTTGGGGAGGACAGCAGCCTGGCCAGGCCGTGGGGAGCTAGTACAGCTGAGCAGCTCAAGCTTCCTGTGCTGAGCACATTCCGATTCAGCAGGGCTGGGCCGGGGCCTGAGACTCTGCTTGTCTTCCAGCCTCCCAGGCGTGCTGGTGCTGCTGCCTGGGGACCACGCTTTGAGTGGCAGAGCTGGCCCTGTGTTTCAGTTGTGTAATCTGAGAGCACAGGGGTCACCGATAGGTTTTAAGCAGACTAGGACGGAACTTGATGAGCTGTCAGTTTCCAGATTCCCCCCTGGCTTCTGCTACATGGAGGATGGACTGGAGGGGGGCAAGTGTGACCTTGAGCGGATAGCAACCAGGTGCCCAGGGTGGAGGCCTGGGGAAGGCGAGGCAGGTCCTGCTGCTTCCTGCATAGGCCTGTCCCAGCTCCCAGCTCAGAGCAGCGCAGCCCCCTTAGAGCCCAGAGTAGTTTCCTGTTAGTTCCTCCAGGAAGTCATCGTAAGGGCTGCAATGCTGGGGGACCTTTGCCGGGCTCAAGTCCATCCCATCCTGGTGGTCAGTCCCTGGAAGATAAAGCCCCGTGTCCTCCAGGCCTGTCCACAGTGCTCTCAGTGGGTACATGATGTACTCACAGAAGAACAGACAACTTGACCCAGGTTAGCATAGCTCACTGGAAAATCACCCGATCTGAGCCAAACAGCCTTGAAAATCCACTCCTAAATCCCGGCAGAGGCAAACAAAGGGAAATGGAGTGTTGAGTATTTGGGTAGCAAATTAGCTCTGAACCCATGGAGATAGTTACACTCCCACCCCCGCCCCAACCTCGCCCCAGACCACACACAATTTTCCATCAGCCGTTGACTTTAGCTGATGGGTTTTGTTATTCCCCAGCAAAGTTCAAAGTGTACTTATTCAACATCTTTGGTGGGCTCAGCTGAGGCCTGGCTTGTGGCACATGCCGGAGAAGTTCGGGCCCTCCAGGTGCATTGCACCCGAAATCTGTGCTCAACCCAGTCCTTGTGCACAGGAATGTGTACATCTCTTTGCAAGCACAGGGCACGTGTGTGGCACATTTAGGGAGGGCCTGGATCAGCAGCTGTTTGTGATCATGCTGTCATGCTCAGAGCCTCTTGGAGCAGCGGACTCAACCTTGACCGCACACACAGGGAGCCCGGAAAGTCACTGGTATCTGGACCCCAACCCAGAGATTCTAATCAAATTGGGCTTCAGGATGTTCAGAAGTGCCCGCAAGGGGGAGTAGTATCCAGCCAGAGGTGGAAAGCTCTAGTTCAGGGGTAGAAGTGTGAAGGTGGCAAGTGGAAGAAATCAGGGAGGACTTCTTGGAGGAGGAGGATCTGCACAGGACCACTGTGGTGGTGAAGAGCCAGGGCTATGTAGTCAGAGACCTGATTTCAAATCCCAGCCACCTCCACTTATAAGCCATGTTATCAAGGGTAGGACATTTGACCTCTGAGAGTGTCTGCTCACTGATAACATGGTGGTGGTAATACTGGCCTTCCCGAGAGGTCTAAGAATATCTGTGAGGCCTGGGATAGCCCTCAGTGCTGTGCCACGCCGGAACACCAACAAAGGAAGCCCATTTCTGGGATTGCCTTCACTCTAATGAGCCGCCCACTGAGTGAGGAGGTGCTTTAGCCAGCCTCAAGGCTCTGACAAGTCCTGCGATATAGAGGCCTAATTTCAGTGTGTTTGGCCCAGCATTTCCCACACGGATGTGACATCAGGGATGCCGTGGAGCCCTTTTCTCAGCAAACCCCTGTTACCAAGCATCGTCCTCCAGGTGGTTGGAGATGCTGTACCTGGGGGTTCAGCCAAGAGCAGGGGTGACCCGGAGGGACCCGCAGACTGCAGGAGGCTAGAATTCTGGGGTTTGGGATCCCTTTGAAGTGGGCTTCCAGGTGGAGAGTAGATGCTGAGCTTTCTCACCTGGCCAGGGATGGGGCAGTAGAGGTGAGGCCTGGGCCACCCCCCCAGGGGGGAAAAGGGGCAGCTAGACTCCAGGATGCAACTAGAAGCGAAGGCACTTAGTAGGTCTCATAGATGGCCAGGGAGGGCCTTGTGGTGGAGGTGACGGCCACGGCCTCGTGGGTATCACGTAGAGATTAACGTTCACTCCCCCATTCATCAAATGTGTGTCAAACGCCTTCTTTGCGCCGGGATTAGAGCCGGAGCTTCAGTGACAGGTGGACGCCACCTCCGCCTGGCCCCGTCCGGAGACCTGGAGCAACCCACTCTCCCAGCCTGAGCCTCAGTTTCCTCCCTCGTGGGGTGGGATAGGACACCACCGGCTCGCGGCACCACCACCCGCTTCGGGGTATGTGACGGCTCAGGCCGGTGCGGGCGGCCCTGCTCACGCGCCCCCTCCGCTCTCCCGGCAGCCGCGACAACTCCCCCAGCCTGAAGGAGATCCGGAACGGCTGCCAGCAGCCCTGCGACCGGAAGCCCACCTTACCTCTGCGCCTTCTGCACCCCAGCCCGGACCTGGTGTCTCAGGAAGCCACGCTGTCCGAGGCGCGGCTCAAGTCGGTGGTCGTGGCCTCCAGCGAGATCCACGTGGAGGTGGAGCATACCAGCACTGCCAAGCCGGCGCTCACGGCCAGCGCGGGCAACGACAGCGAGCCCAACCTCATCGACTGCCTCATGGTCAGCCCTGCCTGCAGCACCATGAGCATCGAGCTGGGCCCCCAGGCCGACCGCACCCTCGGCTGCTACGTGGAAATCCTCAAGCTGCTGTGAGTGTCCCCTCTGCGGGCCTGTCACCAGTGGGCGGGAGAGGGGGACTCGGTGGGCATGCTGGGCATGTGTGCACACGTGTGTAAGCGCGCACACGTGAGGTGTGCGTAAACGCGACTGGGTGCCCAGGACGCAGATGCGGGGCGTGCGGGCACACGTTTAGGGTGTGTATGTCTGTGAACATAAGCTCTGTGCGTGATTGCGCGCGCACACGTGGGGGTGCACGCAGGGCTGTCGGTGTTCGTGTCTGCTTATTTGGGCACATGCGCAGGGCGTGTGCATGAGCCTGACGTACACAGCTGTGTCCGTGAGGTGGAGCGTGTGTGTGTACGTGTGTGCATCCAGCTGCCAGGATGGCCGTGAGCCCACGGGCGCCCAGGTGTGTCTGTGAGTGTGTGAATGACTTTATATTTTGCGGGGGGGGCGGCCCGTTCTGAGTTTGTGAGTGCATGTGTGTGTTCAAGCGATTTTGGCTCCGTGCAGCTGTGACAACACGTGTGTGTTGCCTGAGTGTGTGTGTGTGTGTGTGTGTGTGTGTATGCATTTGGAGGTGGATGTGCATTTTTCTGAAGGGGCCTGTGTGTGTTTTGAGTGCCTGTGTGTGTGTGTGTGCACAAGTGTGAGTGTGTCTGGGTGCTTTGTGCTGCTTTGTGCATGAGCAGCTATGAGTGCGCATGTGTGGCTCTGAGCGTTTGTGCACAAAACTTGGAGCGCGTGCGTGTTTCTCTGTGTGTATGTGTGTGGATCTGCGCACGAGCCAGCACGTGACTGTGTTTCTGTGTCATGTCGCCTGCATGCTCTGTGTGTCTTTCTCTGTGTCCCAGTGGGCAGGGACGGAGCGTGGCGTGCAGAAGCTGGCACTTGCAGGCGCAGTCGGTGGTGGCCGGGGGGCTTTTCAGAGGGATTGTGCGCGCGACCGTGTGGTCCCCTCTAACCAGTGCAAGGTGCCTGTCTAACGACCGGGCACCAGGGCCCCTCGATGCGGGGCGATGCCTGGTTACTGGGGCAGGTCCGTGTTGCCGGGCCTTCGCCGAGTCCCGCTTGTTGCCCGGCTCTGCGGCTTCCGCTCTGCCTCTCCCGTGAACCTGTGGTTGCCCAGAGTGCGCTCGTGGGCTGCAGGGTGGAGGCACGTGTCGGCTGCCTGGTGAGCGGCTGACCTGGACTTGGGAGGTGCCTAGGGGTGTCCCACATGCTGGAAAGCCGAGGCCTGTGGTGCATACGTGCACCCGTACTCGCACAAACACACACACTCCCCTAGGCACCCACGTCGTGCAGCGACTTCTTGTGGCTTGAGAGTTGGGGTGCAGCAACCCCAGACACTTCCTCTGTCCTTGCTTTGGCCCCTGAGAGGGGAGGGTGAGGCCTCCCCGGGGTCAGCTGCGGCCTCGCCCACAGTTCTGGCAGCAGAGGCCAGCCGAGGGCACAGCCACATTGAGCCGCCTCCTCACACGCCCTGCACCTGCCGAAGGAAATTCCAAATTCTGCTCAGAGGGCGTTGCTGAGAACACAAGTCAATTTCTTTAAAGCAGCGGGCAGCCCCCGCTTTCTCCCAGGAGTGGCGATCAGCCCTCCAGGGGACAGGCCGCGGCCCCCTTACTTCCTCCAGCTGTTCTCCACAAACCCCTGGAACTCCCAGGCCTTCTGCTGGCTTGGGCCCTGACTCACGTTTCTCACTAAGCACTGACGGTTTGCCTTTCATCATGCAGTTGACACACATTTTTTTTTCCTTCTCCATAAACATGCTCACGAATGCGGATTCTGTTCTCCCTGGTCTGCTTCCAGACCTCCTGCCTGCTGCCAGGGCGTGGGGTGGGGGGGTCAAGTGCCCGGGCCAGGGCTGGCCACCGGGAGCCAGGAGGCATTCCTGGCCACTGCCCAGAGTAACACCTCACCCCTGCCCGGGGGATCTCCACAAAGCAGGTTTATACTTCTGGAAGCCTTTTTCACCTCGGGGTGGAGGGAGAGGCTCAGGACATAATTCGGACTTGGGAAATTCTTCCCGAGCCTTGCTTCCTGCTTAAAAACGTCGCTGGCCCACCAGAGGCCCTCAGACACGTTGGACCCACAAACTCCAGCAGCTCCAAAGGACGGTACATTGGCAAAAGCAGCAGATTCAGAGCCAGACTGCTGGGTCCAGGGCCGTGGATGCCAGGGGTGGCTTGTGGCCTTGGGCGAGTTAGTGGTCCTCTCTGAGCCACGGCTGCGTCCAGGCACGAGCGTGAGAGGGACGTTCCCTGGGCACTGGCGCGGCGTAGACGCCTCGCAAGCGCAGACCTGGGCAAGTGGGAGTTACTACACTTTGTGGTTATAACAGTGTTCCCTCTATTTTAAGATACCATTGGGAGTGAGATGCATCCTCGATTTAATAGCAGCAGTTTGAGAGGGAAAAAGCCCCAATATGGCATTCAGTGCACACTCAGATCGCAAGAAGCGTGCGTTGTCTGGGGATTGAGGGCGTGTGGCCATCTCACTTAGCCTGCTGTGTAACTGGGGGCAGCGTTTTTGGCTCCTGGGCCTCAGTTTTCTTGTCTGTACAATGGGTATCGTGACGTAGGGCCTTTCCACTGCTGGCCCAGTGCCGGTTCTTGGTGAGAGTGCACTGCTCTTACCAACTGGAACACTCGCCAGTGAGAGTTATGTGTAAAGGGGAAAGAACAGAGGAACGGGGGGCCTTGTGGGGGCCAAAGGAGCCCCACTTAGAGCAGGCACTGCCACTCCCCGGGAGTGTGGGCAGCGCAGCCCACAGCCCCTGATTAGTTCCCTTCCCACGGGAAGGGTGCATCCTTGGAATCTGACACCTTTGAAAAGTAACATAAGCCCTGAGAAGTTCCCCAGAGACCCTTAAAAAGGAAAACTTTTCCCAGCGCAGGCCAGCATCACCCTGTGAGGCCCAGGCTGGGTGGTACGATGGAAAGAATGTGGACTCGGAAGCAAGACTGAGCAGGTTTGGGTCTCTAGGAGTTTGGATTCCACCTCTTGCCCTACGAGGCAACTGTGCACAGCTCACACATTTCTTTAGGAAAAGTGCTTTCTTTATCAAGCACTTGCCACACACGTGCACTGGGCCTGGCTCTGTGCTAGGTGCCGGGGGGACGGGGGGTGGAGACGGATCTCCTGCTCTCAGTCCCTCTGCATCTGAGCAGCACCAACTACAAAAATGGTGACAGCGCCTGCTTGGTGGGACGGAGTAGGGGAGGCTGCTGGCCCACGGAAGGCCACCAGCAAGGGGACAGGCTTCTGTCCAGGAAGAGAAAAGAGCAGCCATCCTGAGGGAGTGATGGGCACATCCACTCTTCTGACCAGCTCAAATCTGGCTACTTGATCTTTTGCAAATACCCACGTTTTGAAAGAGGTCTTGTTGGGCTGGAGGTGAGCTGGAAGATGCCTCGTCCCTCAGGGGCCTTTGGGGGAAAATGCAGACAAGACTTGGGGTTGTCCTAAAGACTGGGCAGCGTGACTAGAATGTAGGAGGCAAGCATCTGCATCACCCAGGACAGTGCTGCTCAGTAAAGAACTGTCCCGGCCAGATGCCACAGCTCCACTGTGAGCACCAGAGGCTTGGTGCAGGGAGCGGGGGATTGTTTGGAGGCTTGGAAACCCTGTCCGACAAGGAATGGCTGAAACAGCTCCCAACAGCCTGAGAGCTAGAGAGGGAGGGTGGCTGGATGGGAGGGACCAGGACCAGGTCCCAGATCATTGCTGGAGTCTGACACCCCCACCCCGGGGGGCCACCGCCTTGTGCTCTCCAGCTTGTGGCCTGGGAGGGCTGGGGTTCGGGGTGGGTGCTGTTGTGCATGCGGCTGTAAGGGCCAGGCCTGCCTGCCCCCGGCCAGTACGCTGGGGACTTCGGGCTTCTCAAGGCTCGCACGGCGCACCTGCCCTCTGGCTCAGCGTCAGCAGCTGTTCTGCGGGTAGGGCAGCCTTCTCCCCACATTGTGCAGAAGTTCTGAGAATCAGGAGGAAACCGTGTGCTGGGAGGAAGCATCTTGTCCCCGGGACAGGTTCGAGCTTGGGCTCAGGCCGCAGCTGTCAGGTTGGCTTACGGTTCCACCAAGCATACGCTGTATGTCTGGCCAGGCCAAAGCTGCTGCCCCAGCCCTGGGAACCACCCTGTCCCCATTTCCTCACCTGCCCAGCTTGTCCCTGGTGTTACCCACACCCAACACAGCAGGAGAAAGGCGGTTCTTGGCCATCTGGCTTCTAAACCACCCGTGGAATGCAGAATGAGGCTGAAGACCTGGGCCTCGTGCTCACTGAGTCCAGCTCTCCCCCTTATTAGCTCTGTGACCTCCGGTGGCCGCCCTGAGCTCGTTGGGAGGTCTGGGGAGTCCTAGAGCCAGCCTGGCCCCGTTGATGTGAGGACTAAATGTTAGGTGATTGACACCTACAGCTCATCGGAGGCCTTTGGGATGCTCAAGGTGCCTTATCTCCCTTTCCTTCATGAACGCAGGGCAGGCCTGGCTGTCTTCTTCCCGGGGGGTGGGTGGGCAGGCCTCTCCCCGCCTAGCTGCCGTTCTTCCTTCCGTCCCAGGCCAGTCTGGCCCGCCAGCCCTGAGGCTGGCACTGCTCTCCGGATGCTCATGGCCGATGCTCTGCTGGCCACGGGTGTCCCACACCCTACCCCTTGGGCTTGGCTAGCCCTTGGGCACCCAGCCTCTGCCCAGCACGCCTACTGTGCACCCCCAGACTGGCCAGCCCGGGCATTTGGAGCAGGGCCAGGAGCTAACTGCAGACTCGGAACCGGGCCTGGCTGAGGCAGGAAGGAGGTCCAGTGCCCTCTTTCTCTTCGTGCCTGTGTCCCCCACTCGCAGTCCTGTGTGAGCTGCCAGGATGGAGCCTGCAGGAGGCCGAGCTCGAGGCGGGGGAGACTGAGCTTAGCGCCCGGGGAGTGCAGGCGACATGCACCATTGTGCGGAATGGGCTCGTTGAAGTCCCCTTCTGCTCAGGAGTGAACCCAGGCCAGGCTGTGTTGCTGCCCTGAAGGCCCCGGCTCCGTGGCCTCTGATACCCACTGATAAGGAGCGATTTATCCTCAGGGTTTTCTGTATTTAATGGCATTTCTACATAGAACATGTTTTATTTTTTTAAAGCCAAAGAAAAACTAGTAAGCGCCTTTTTCGATAGAGGGAAGTGGACTTCTGTGCAGGTGGGAGCAGGAGACGAGACGTCGTGCTGTTCAGTGAATAGGACCGCAGACGTGGGAGCCAGGCTCCTGGGTTCAAGCCCCAGCTCCTACCAGTGGTGCGACCCTGGGCCAGCCCTTACCCTGAGGGTTTTCAAGTCTGTAGAATGGGGGTGGCAAGTGCGTCCAGCTCAGCAGGTTCCTCAGAGGGACGCAGGGGCTGATCCATGTGTGCATTTGGAAGAGCCTCTGCTCCCAACAAGCTCTGTCTATAGTGTTTGCTCCTGTTACTTTTAGATTTTTCTGGAAACCATGAATCAGACAGGTGAGGGAGGTTGTGGGGAGGGGTTTAGAGGGAAGACAAGCTTGTCACAAAAATCAATGACTCCCCCCCCCAAAAAAAGAAGCACATAGGTTTGGGGTCAAAAGGGGTCTCCACATCCTGCTGTGAGGCCGATGGGCCTGTGGGCTCGCTGGGCCCGGCCACCTGGCACGAGAGCTCATGCCCAGCCTTGGGCACTGGGGTCCAAGGACCCGGCTGTGGATCCCAGCTCCCCACTTCCCAACTGTCCGGACTCAGGTGGGGCCTCACTCTCAACTGTAAGGCAGGTAACTCGAGTGCCAGTTCTGAGGAGCCCATGAGCAAGTTTGGGCCCAGTGCACGGCCTCACGAGTGCCCCTCAAACCTCCACATGTGGCACTGTTAGGACTTAGCTCAAGCCACCAGACGCTTCTGGGAATTCTTTTCCAGGGTGGGAGCTGGATTCTAAAGGCTGCCACTTTCTCACTGGAGTCTCTGCAGGGAGGGAGGGCAGGAAAGGGCTGTCACCCGGGGGTTATATAAACAGTGCCTTATTGGTGGGGGCACATACTGGTTCCTGGGGATGAGAAGATCTCAATTGTCTTTTGGTGTAAAGTACAGACGTGTGGCACGTAAACAGATACGCAGCATATTGGGACAACAGTCAGGGACAAATGTCGAGAAAGCTCCTCAGGGCAGGGGCGGTGGGGGGTGCACAGGGGCACCAGCACATGGTGGTAAGAAGCTTGAGAAACACCAGATTCTCAATGGAAAGGAGCCCCAGGGCCACAGGCCCACGATTCAGGGTCCTTTCCTCTGCCCAGGCCATCCAGGCACCGTCGGGGCCCCTCCTGTGGGCAGTGCCAGATGTCAGTAGGGGTCCGACTGTAGCCCTACCCGCGCCAACACAGGCCATTGGATGAAGGGTGCAGATACCCCCTCCTGCCAGAATCCAGCTTCCTGCCCCAGCCAAGACAGGATCCAGGTCAGACTGCGCGCCCGAGTGCGCAGCTGAGGACGCACGCTGTTCCACTTGTCAACATCCCCTTCGACTTGGGAGTGAACCCCGGACCCCCGCTGCCTCTCCCTAGCATGTGCTGCATCCGCAGCTCAACAGGCCTCTTCCGGGCACCAGCCATCTGCCTGGCCTGGTGCCCAGCCTGACAGGTGCAGAGATAAGAGGCAGCCCCTCCCCGGGCTGCTGTGAGCAAGGTATGTGCGCACCTGGGCACCCGGAAGACTTCCGTGTTGGCGGGGCTGTTCCAGGGGCCCCACCGCTGTGTGTGGGGCCGCAGAGGTGCCTGGCTGGCTTAGGACGGTCGGTGAGAACCGGCTACCTCTGGGTTCGCTTTCCAGCACAGTCCCCAAAACCAGAGTAATCGGAGAACCCAGGTCAGGGGCTGTACCAGGTCTAGGCTCTGGGTGGGGCAAGAGGAGGTCACAGCCCCAGAAGCACCTGAGGTCAAATCCAAAGTACTAGCTGGTGATTTGTACAAATATGAGACATCTGTGGGCCTTGTCCTCCTGCAAAATGGGGTGTAGGAATTAGGGGCCTCGGGGGGTGTCTATGAGTGTTAAGCGGGGCACACGTGAATGTTCTAGTGCCTGGTAAAGGCCCGTCAGTCCTCAGGCTGAGGTGCTGCCATGTCCCACGCGTTCCTTCCCCTGCTCCTGATCCTCCTGGCTCCTCCTCGGGGGCAGTTGGCAGAAGCTGGGATGTGGGGGAGCCCTGCCGACTCTGCCGCGGCCTCCAGGAGCTGTCGCTTCCCTTCCTGGGACCTCTCTCTGCGGCGCAGCTCTGCGGTCACCTCGCCAGTAACTGAACCGCTCCCCACCTATAACACAGATTCGTGGTGGTCGGGCTGATCCCATGGTCTCAGCGGTCCCGACACGCAGTGGGTGCTTGGCAAGTCATTCATGCCAACGTCCCTGTTCTCGAACAGTCCATCCCAGGCCGGGGTAGGGGCAGGACCCTTCAGTGCCTGGTCCCACCTGAGGCCTCAGCTGCCATCTGTCAGAGCAGGCGAGGGCAAGGCTGGATTTGATTTCTCATCCACCACAGCTGTGTTACCTTGCACAGTTAACTTCTCGGAGCCTCGGTTTCCTCACCTGTTGAGTGGGGCCGAGCTTAGTTACTTCACTGTGAAGAGTAAGCAAACAGAGGTAAAGCTCTTGGCATCATGCAGCGCGGGTACAACGTGCTGTCGCCGTCCCAGCTGCTGGGTTTTGTTCCGTTACTCTACTCTCCCCATTGTTATTACTGTCATTCGAAGGGACTGTTTTGTTAAAGCACTGTTATCTGGACATAGGAGGAGAAGCATCTGATAAATGAGGCGGGTTGACCAAACTGCAAATAAATAGCACATATTTATTGTTTTTTATGAATGAGTCTATACATTTGCCCCTCAGTTCTGGTCACAGATGAGAATGCTTTTGCATTCCCAACATAAGCCTCCTCTGCTAGTCAGCTCGGGCGGCCGCAACAAAATTATACAGACCAGGTGCCTTCGGCAACCGAAATTTATTTTCTGGCAGTTCTGGAAGCTAGAAGTGTGAAATCATGGTGTGGGCAGGGTCGGTTTCCTCTGGGGTCTCTCTCCTGGGCCTGCAGTGAGCTGCCTTCTTCCCGTATCCTCACAGGGTCTTCTTCCCTCTGTGTGTGTGTGTCCTGGTCTCCTCGCCACGTTAGGACGCTAGTCACACTGGGCTAGGGTCCCCCTCATGGCCCCATTTTTGCCTTCATCACATCTGTGTCTCCAAACACAGACACAGTCTAAGGTACTGGGGTGAGGATTTCAGCCCGATAATTCGAAAGTCGGACGGAACAACGATCTGGTAACTGGGGTGCAGGGGTGAGGTGGGATGAAAGGGGAGGGGTAGAGCTGGAGGTCTGGCCCCTTTGGTTGCCATAAGGAGGTCTCTGGACAGGTTCTGTCAGGCGCATAGACACCAGCTGCTTGTCTCCCCAGCTCCCTGGAAGCAGGACAAAGCCCACGGGAGTCTCTGCCAGACCCTCGCCCCATCGTGGGCCATCCGTGACAGGACACGGTGAACCTCTCCTTGTCCAGTCTGAACCTGACTGTCACCCCCTCTCTCTCTAGGTCCGACTACGATGACTGGAGACCGTCCCTGGCCAGCTTGCTTCAACCCATTCCATTCCCCAAAGAGTAAGTCCCACACCGGTCTCTGACCTCAGTTGTCCACAAGTCACCCCGGGAACACCACGGACAGTGGTGAGAGAGGGAGAGGTTGGTCTTCAACCGTGGGACCCCTGGGGAGGCACAACCACACCCCACCCTGAAAAATGGGGAGGTTACCTCATGGCAACATTACAAGGATTCACTGAGCTAAGAAGGCAGACAAAGCCCTCCCCACCATGCCTTCATGCAGTGAAGTTAGCGATTTTGATTATGCCTCCGATGGGACCAGGACTGCCTGCCTGCGCGCTCTCCGAAGGCCACAGCAAAAATCACAGGATAATGCACATGGAATTGCTTTCTGGGCCTTACAGCGATATGCTGAACACACTCTTACTGCGCCCATTACGATTATTACCTTGTGTTCCACGGCGAGTTGGGCCAGAAATGGGCCCTTCGTCTTTCTCTTGCCAGCCCTTATCTCAATATTGAATTTATCCGAGGAAAATAGGGAGAAAACTGGTGGATAATGGCCTGAGGAGAGAAGGCTTTGTCTGAATAACCAGGCCCTAAAATGCCTCCAGGTCTCTGTTTTGACAGATGTGGAGAAGCCAGGCCTCAGGAGGCAGCTCGGGGCTCTCTCAGGAGCCGATTAACGAGCCTGTGTTTATGAAATGCGGCTCTCCAAGGGGGACATTACACCCGGTAATTGCCCCATTTGCTGGCCTGGCCGGTCCCTGGGGCCCCCAGGGCTCAAGACCGGAGAAATCTGACTCCGGAGAGCCACGGCTGTCTCCAAAGAGCAGTGGCGTCATTGGCTGCATTCGCTGTCCCCACGGCCCCGGGGACACACGTGACAGTGGGCCCATGATGCAATTCACTTGAAGAATGGTCCCCGAACGCCCCCCCGACGTCCAGCGTAATTAGGGCGGCCGCACCTTCTCGGTGGAACAGTTACCGAGCACACCTGGGTCACGGGCCATCCGCTCAGCGCCGCTGCTGTCCGCAGGTGCGGGGCCCGGGGGGCTCCGTCTAGTCCCGTTCCTACAGTCTTGGCCTCATCAAAGGAGGCCTTCGTTGTGCAGTTTCAAGGAGGGACAAAATGTCCGTGTTTCATTCTCAACTTCCTCCTCATTCTTCGGAGCAGACGAAGCCTCCCTGTCCCCAGAGGAAGATCTGTGGATCATTGTGGGTCTCAAAAGCACCCCGCTAATGGCAGTTTTCCCTCTGTTTTTGTTCCAGAGCTCTCGCACATGAGAAGTTCACCAAGTGAGTATTGGGGCAGCGCCCTCGTTACCTCCTTCCGGTGCAAATGTCCTGTCCTCTCTCCTGAGGCCGTCCCCCTGCGGCCAGCCCTCCTTCCAGCCCCTTCTCAGTCACGTGCATTCTGGGAGGCAGCCATGGCTCCTCTTGGAAGTTCTGCACCACATGTCCAGGCCTGTCCGGGTGTTTCCTGACCCCGGCCAGCTCTGTTCGGCTCCCCATGCCCCGGCCCTCTCCTCTAGCCCCCATCATGGTCCACTCGAACCAGGACCCGGCGAATGACTGCCACCACCCTGTCTCTTTCAGGGAACTGAAGTATGTGATTCAGAGGTTCGCCGAAGACCCACGACAAGAGGTGAGGCCTCCCTCCCTCCCTCGAAGGCACCCTCTCAGGGCTATGGCAGGACACCTGTGGGCCTCTCCGAGCCTTCTGTAGTCTTCTGCCAGGGCCTCCTTGTCTCCCACAGGCATTCAGAGCAGTTTACAAAGGCTCCTTGCCTTGATGCGTAAACACAGCCCCCCCCCCCCGTGATGGGGGGTGCCCGGCCCATGATGTCAGTCCTTTCCTATACCCTCAGGCTCACCAGAGGTGGTTTCCCAGCGGCTGGCGGTTTCTTATTGGAGCATAGGTCTTGCTTTAGGTGCAGCCTGCCACAGGGGTTCCCAGCCAGCTCCAGGATAGCAGTGGGTCCTCGTTCGGCTGCTGTTCTGAGAATCAGCAGACCAGGGAAGACATCTGAGCTGGGATCTGAGCCGGCTTTCATTTCCCGAGCATGATGGCTGTGGGCCTCCCTGAGGGGCCACTCCGTCCCTCCAGTATCTGGGCTTCAGGGAGAGCTCAGCTTTCCCCACCCTCCGCTCCCCCCGGAGGCTGTGTGAGCAAGGACTGTGTGGCCTGGGTTCCTCCATCCATTGTATCAGCGCAGCGACAGGCAGCCTTGCCTCGGGGCTCACCCTGTGTCAGGCACATGCGTTTTCTCCTTGAATTTCCCCCACAAGCACGAGGAGATTCTGTCATCACCCCCGTTTACGTCGGAAGTACCCTCCTCTTAGAGTTGAGAAACCTGAAGTTGTGGGACATCCCCACAGTCACAGAGCTGGTATCTGGCCGAGGCAGGACTCAAACCCAGACTCTGTGGCTCCAGAGTCTATTCAGTGCCCAGCTCCGCAGCGGACACACTGGGCCGGACAGGGCTGCAGAAATGAGCAGGATGCTGGCCTTGCCCCGTGTAGCTCACAGCCCCCTTCTCTGTGGGCAAGGACCCTGGGATGTGAGGGGATCTGGCTTCCAGGTGGAGACAGACCGGGACACATGTACCCCCAGCGCAGTGGGAGGTTAAGGATGGGCAGAGGAGGAAATGATTTCTTCTTCTTGATGGAACCAGAATATTCTCTCTTCAGTCCCCGCTGTAAAACCGTTCTAGAAGGATCAAGTTCTAAAACACCTTGATTCTAAACCCTGATTCCCAAAGTGGTCCTCAGGTGCAGTGGGAACAAGCAAAACTGGCAGATAGGGAGCTCTTAAGTGGCCGGATACCCGTGCTGGTCTAAGCCATCCTTCAGTGCGTGTGAAGACAGATTCTCAGAATTCCCCTGGAAAGTGAGCCTTTAGTTCAAGCACAAACTTTGAAGCTAAAGAGTAAAAGTGGTCCCAGCTGCTTCCCAGAGTGGAGAGGCAGAGCCGAGTGCTGGCAGGGAGCTTTCCGAGCCCGGTACCATCCGCAAGGCGCCGGGGGCACTGGTAAGCAAGGGGCCCGTCCTGCAGGGGAGGCCCTGACCCCAGCAGGCCCCTCACCAGGCCTTGCTCCGGGCTCCTGTGTGCCTCTCCCTTTGATTCTTTTTCTCCTCCTCGCTCTCCCCTCCCACCTTCTTCCTCCTGAAGAAGCCAGAGTTATAAATCCTTTGATGTATTTGCTGAACAGTTTCATACTCTTGATTCCTTATTTCTTTGAAGTAGACAAATTAACATTTGATATTCTTCCAACTCCGAGGGAAAAATCAAAGCCCCACTGCCTCTGTTTTCTGTTTACTTGTGTGTGGGTTGTGATCAATTGAATATCTGTGAGTAAGTGGCTTTTGGCAGCAAATTGTCCTTCACTCCTGAAGGAAATGATCGGGACATCTCTCAGCTCTCTTCTGAGGACAGGGAGGAGGGGAAGAAACAAAGGCTTTTGCTTCTCTCTCTCTCTCTCTTCAGTTATAGGAGGGGCCGAGGTGTGTGTGTGGAGCTCCTTCCGCTCACACATGCCCACCACACACTCCCACGCGCAACTCTGGGAGGGCGGTCGAGACCCACAGAGGGAACTGTGCTCATGCACACAACTGTCCCACCCTGGACAAAGAGCCTTCCAGGGAGAGGCACAGACCAAGAAGGAGGTGCAGACCCCCAGCGGTGAAGGGGGAGGGTGCCCTGTGAGCAGGATGTTCGGAGGGAGCTGAGGGCAGAGAGAGAGAGGAGAAAAAAGAGCTCCTCCCGTGACCACCCCCCGCCCCCCAGAGGGGCATAGGAGAAAAGGGGACTGAGTCTGAGCAGTTGCTTGGAGTCTCTCTTCCCATGATTTGGCCACAGACTTGCTTTTGTTGCGGGCAACTCACCAGGCCCGGCCTGGCCCTTCGTCCCTCGGAGCTGAAGCTGAATGGCTGGAGTTCCCCAGTTTATGGAAGCCACACTTTTCCCCAAAAGGCCTTCCATGGTATTAGTAGGAGGTGGGAGTCGCTGGACTAGAAGTGAAACAGGCCTCCGAGCCTTTACCGTCTGCCGGGCTCCCTGGGGCCCCCGGGGACTGACCGCTGTGCCCCTCCCCTGCGCAGGTGCATTCGTGCCTGCTGAGCGTGCGGGCGGGCAAAGACGGCTGGTTCCAGCTCTACAGCCCCGGAGGGGTGGCCTGTGACGACGACGGCGAGCTGTTCGCCAGCATGGTATGCGGGGCGGGCCCCCCTGGGGTGCGGCGGGGCGGGCCCCAGGCTTGCCCCTCGGACGAGGCCAGAGCTGCCCCGACCCGGCGGGGGCGGCCAGCCTGGGAACCCCCAGACTGCATCGAGGCTGAGGAGGGGGATGAAGGGGACGACCACAAGTGTCGCCTGCCATCTCTCACCTGAGGGGCACCCAGCCAGGGGCTCAAAACTCCTGCCCGCGCGCAGCCCCACTCGGCTCCATGAGGCGGTGCCACCTCGCAGACGAGGGGCTGAAGCCCGAGGCGCCCACCGCCCAAGCGCACACCGCTCATCGTAGCAGCGGCGTTCAGGTCCGGCCACGGAGGGCTTGGTGTGCACAGGGGTTCCAGAAGGCGCTGCAGACCCACCGGCTCGCCTGACCTTTGCCTGAAAAGCCAAGGTCAGGATGATCGTCTAACCCTGGAGATGAGAGATGTGAGGTCACCAAACCAGTAACCGCACCCCCGGTGACCTCAGTGCGTTCTTTGCGCCAGACCCCGCACGTGCGCTGTTTCTTCATCTTCCGCCTTCTGCCTTAAGCACGCTGGTGTTGAGGCAGCCTAGGGAGGCGTGGTGGCCTCCACGTCGCTCCGTGACCCAAGCCACGCTGTCCAGAGCCGACCCCTTCTGCCAGTGGCAGCGTGCACGTGTCTTGAAGGGGGCCCGCGCTCCCCTCCCGGTGGCCGGGGACCTCGTCCTGCTTGCTGACGCGGCCAGCTGGGCTCTGGGACCCTGCGTGTTCCCAACCCCAAGAAAAGAGGACTCGGACGGCGCCCTGGGCTTCGCCACCTCGTCTGTGAGCCAGGAGCGGAGCGCCGGCTTCTGGGCTCACCGTGCCTTTGCACGCGACAGCAGACGCGGGGCGCCCAGCCAGGGCCTAGGGCACAACGGCCTGCAGTTGGTCTCGTCTCTCTGCTGGGCCACCCGTTCAGCGGGGCCCACGGCTCACGAAGCTCTCGCAGTGACGCCAGATCCGGCGCTGCCTGTGGAGTCTTTCTGGAAAGGGACTTATTTCTGGAGCGTCTTCCTTGCGCACTGGCCCTCCACTCCTCACCCGCTGCCTGACGAGCGCCTCTCGAGTGCCCTGTGCACCCTGGAGGTGCTGGCCTCCGCCTGCCCGCACCCCCCCACCTCTCACGAGGGCTCCCCTGATGTCACAGCTTCACCATGGCAACAGCCAGTGGTCCCCCACCCCTCGATGTGGGGACTCAGTGTGTGAGAGAAGTCGGGCAGCTGGCAGCTTCCCAGCCTGCGAGATTGCGTCCGTGTGCCAGAGTTGTTAATGATGGAGGGGAAAAAATATACATGGAAAAGGAAGCAGGCAGCCCCTGGGATGGCAGCGCCTCGTTTCCATGGAGATGCAGGGCACGGGAGAGGTCCCCTTGGTCAGGCTGCCGTTTCCAGCCATGGAAGGGCGTTTGTTATCGCATGAAGTCTGGGGGGAAAGCACACGAAATGCATGGGCCCCAGCCCTGTTGGTTGGGGTCCCCTGCCCTTGGGCGCCCCTCCAGATACGCCAGGAAGAAACCGTTTTCTCAACGGCGGCCCTGCTTGTAACCCGGGTGGGGCAGAATTTGCCCATTTCTGGATTTCTGGGGCAGGTGATCACTCAGCACCCCTTGGAGCTCCCAGAGTTTGGGAAGGGGGAGGCAGAGCTCCCTGCCGTTCTCTGTCCTGCATATGGTGGCACTGTACCCCCTAAACACTAATGCCGCCCAACCCCCACCCTGGCAACCCCCATTTGACTTCCTGCCTCCAAGCCTGACGCTCCAGGTCCCTCACATGCATGGAATCCTACAGGATTTGTCCTTTGTGATTGGCTTACTTAGCACCATGTCCTTGAGGTTCATCCACATTGGAGCGTGTGTCAGGGAGGGGGGTCTTCTGAATCTCCCTGCAGGGAGGGATCTGATGATCATTTCAGATCGAGCGTCCAGGCGGGAGGTAGGGCGGGCCTTCTGGTTTTGGAATCCTTCCAGCATCCCAGAAGCAGGCGTCTTGGGCCACAGCCCCACGGTGGCCCCTGCTCTTCACACGGGCCGTCTCCCCTCGCAGGTGCACATCCTCATGGGCTCCTGTTACAAGACCAAAAAATTCCTGCTCTCCCTGGCGGAAAACAAGCTGGGCCCCTGCATGCTCCTGGCGCTGAGGGGGAACCAGACCATGGTGGAGGTAAGGAGCCGGCCCGCGTCCCTGGCCAGGCCACTGTCCTGTCCGGGCCTTCGTCCTTGTTGGCGGAGCGCCTTGTAGGAGCCCAGAGCTGTGAGCTCAGCCAGAGCACAGCCCCCGCCGAGGTGTGGCCCCGGCCTGCCCTGAGCCTCGGGCTAGCCTGCCGTCACAAGTTACCCGTCTCACTTGTCATCTGTGTTGACCCGAGGGATCAGGGGAGGTTTCTGTTCCATTTGTCTATTGCTGTGTAACAGAGCACCCGAACGGGGGCTTAAAACGGTGATACTTATTTGGCTCACAGATCTTGGGGTGACTGGGCTCAGGTGACAGGTGCTCGCTCTGGGTCTCGTGGGGAGGCCAGAGCATCTGGGGCCCCGGGCCTCTCTCCATGCAGCAGCCTGGGCCGCAGTCTTCCGCTCACCAGGGAGCGCACGGGTGGCCCAGTTCCTGTCTGTCTCCTCCCAAAGTCCCCAGAAGCCTGAGGCTCCCAGAGCTGCTGTCCAAAGGCAGACAGAAGCCGTCCTGCTCTTCCTCAAGCACCTCCCAAGTCAGCCCCCTAATGTCACTGTGCCACATTCTGCAGGGAGAAGTGCCAGCCCATAGTCTAGGGCTGGGGCTGAGAACACCTCTTAGTGGGAAGCGCGTCCCGAGAATTTGAGCCCCAGACTTTCTTCCCTGCCACTGAGCGTTGCAGTGAGATTTGGGGGCAAGGAGTTCACAAGAAGGCAGGAGCAGGGCGCCTGGGTGGCTCAGTTGGTTAAGCGACTGCTTTCGGCTCAGGTCATGATCCTGGAGTCCCTGGATCGAGTCCCGCATCGGGCTCCCTGCTCAGCAGGGAGTCTGCTTCTCCCTCTGACCCTCCCCCCTCTCATGTGCTCTCTCTCTCTCATTCTCTCTGTCTCAAATAAATAAATAAAATCTTTAAAAAAAAAAAGAAGGCAGGAGCAGAGCGTCCAGGCCAGGCCCTGCAGCAGGAGGTGTGGTGTGAGAACAGGGAGGAGGCCAGCATGGCTGGGTCGAGGGGCAAGAGGTTGGGGATTCAGGTGGATGGGCCTGGAGAGCCTATGAGGCACCCACAGGCCCTGGTAAGGATCTTGGAGGTTGCGTCCAGATGCTTGTGCAGGGGACTTGCAGGGACTGGGGGTGGCGGGGGAGCCGGGAGGCAGGTGAGCCATGCTGTGAGGGCCTGGGCCAGGTGGGCTCTCCTTGGGAGGGGAGGAGTCATCAGAAGGGGAATCGAGGCAGGGCTACCTTCGCGTGAAGCCCGGGCTCCCAGGCAGGAGGGCTGGGAAGAGTGACACACGCAACCGCCCGAGGCTCCAGGAGGCATGATGTAGCAGGTGCTCCCCAGGGCTCCAGTTTAACTCAGTGAGCATGTCTTGAGCACCAACCGAGGGCCAGGCAAAGGAGAGAAAGCTAGGGATGCAAAGAGGTGTCCTGTCTTGTGGGCTCTCTCCCAACCCTTCAGGTCCTGGCATGCATCCTTTCTCCATGCATTTGCCAAGGGCCTGCTCTGTGCTCAGCTGAGTATGCATGAATGTTCCCATTGTATGGATGGGAAGCTGCGGATGGCGATATCACACAGCCGGAAAGGCAGAGAGGGGAGAGCACGGTTGCTCGTTTTCAGGATAAGATTTTGAGGTGCATAGAGCACACCGAGCTTATCCATAGACCCCTGTCCCCTGGTGCGTGGGGCTGTTGGCCCAGGCTGAGGGGGTTTGGCCCTCTGTGCCTGTAAGGAGCAGCCCTGCCCGGAGTCTCGGGCTGGCTGTAAGGTGCCTCCCCTGCTCTTGCGCAGATCCTGTGCCTGATGCTGGAATACAACATTATCGACAACAACGACACCCAGCTGCAGATCATCTCAACCCTGGAGAGCACGGGCGTGGGCAAGCGCATGTACGAGCAGCTGTGTGACCGGCAGCGGGAGCTCAAAGAGCTGGTGAGTCCACAGCCCGGCTCCGCGGCTCCAGAGCTGGGCCAGCCAGAGAGCACAGCTGGGGTGCGGTGGGGCAGAGGCCAGGACCACCACACCTGCATGGGCCTCTGTCCCAGTGAGTTCTCCAGACCCAGAGAAGTCGGGACTACCACCTGCCACTTTCCAGATGATCACAGAGAGGGCAAGTCAGTGGCCCACAGTCACAGAGCTCCTCCTTGGCCGTGCCAGGAATGCGTCCTCACCCCCAGCATCACGCACGCCAGTCACTGTCACCACCCCCCCCACACACATTATCCACGTGCCTTAGGCCCTTCTTTAAGGGCACCAGGGCTGGACTTCAGAATGGCAACGAACTCATGCCCCTGGTCCCCCTGGAGCAGCTCTCACCCAGTGGCTGGTAGGGGAGGGTGTGTAAATACCCCAGCTCCCTCTCCACGCGGGTGGGACACCTCTGAGACGTGACCCAGAGGCCCTCAGCGGTAGCTGTGCGCGAACACTCCCTTCCTGAAGGGGCTTCACTGTCTCCCTTCCCCTGCTGGTGTTTCTTGGGATCCCCTCTCTAATAAACCAACTCCACCCCAGCCTTGTCTCAGGGTCTGCCCCGAGACCAAGACCCGCATGTTGTTGCCTTGTACCACCCAGAAGTGAACCTGGCGCTGTGCGTGATGTTAATGGGGAGGGGGGGTGCAGGATGGAGGCTCAGGGGAAAGAATGGGTCGTAATCAGTCTGTTTCTGTTGCAGCAAAGGAAAGGCGGGCCCACTAGGCTAACACTGCCCTCCAAGTCCACAGTGAGTTGGCTTCAATCTTCGGTGGGGCCGGGTGGGGGAAGAAGGTGGTTGGGCCTCCCCACTGGGGAGCTGCAGCGTCTGGCGGAGGCGAACAAGACAACGTAGTCCTCGACAGGCCAGCTTTTCCAGGAGGCAACCGGGGTGCAGGAAACCAGACAGGATAAGGATTATTGTTGATACTAATGTTAATATGTTATCAGTTAGTCATAACAGCTAATACGCATGGAGCGTTTCTGTATCAGATGCTGGGTCATGAGTCCATTTTATCACCACAGAAGCGCTATGAGGTTGGTGCCTCTTTGCGGCCCCATTGACAAGTCTTGGGGGATCTCAGTCCCTCCTGTCCTGCTGCCTCACCGTCCTTGGCATGAGGCTTCCACCTCATGGTCCAAAAAGACTCCTCAAGCTCTAGCCATCATGTCTGCATTCAAACCAGCAGAAGGAGGAGGAGCAAAGAAGAACATGCCCCTTCCCTTTCAGGACTTGCCTGGAAGTTCCAGTGGACACATCTCCCTGTATACCATTGTCCAGGTTTAGGACATGGCCACACCTGGCTGGGAGATTAGCCTTAATTCAGGGCAGCTGGCTGACGGCTAAAATTCAAGGATTCAGTCGCTAAGGTGGAAGGGAGAACGGATTTTACCCTCGGTGGCCTCTTGGTCTAGTGCTCACACAGGCACTGATCTACACAGGCCTTAGAGTTGGGGGGACCTCAGTGTTCACAGGTGGGAAATGGGCACAAGGTGCTGCCTGGGAGGGTGAGTTGGCCAGGCACACGTGGACGCGCGCACGCACACACACCCGTGGGAGGGACGTGGCCTCAGAACACCCCAGTGGTGAATCAGGGCGTGAGTCACAGTACTGGAGGCTTTCTCCCTCACCCCCAGGGACGAGGAAGCAGCCTTTCCCTCCCCGGCAGCCCCCTCGGCCCACCCCACCCCCCCCGAGCCCCAGCGTCACCCCACCTCCTGGGGATGAGCTGCCCCTAGCTACAGCTCTCTGCGGGGCAGGGGAAGGGAGGTGGGGAGAGGGGTACAACGGGGTCTCAGGAGCTGCTCGCAGCCCGAGGCCTTCCCCGACACCCCACCAGCCCGTCTGTTTGCAGGATGCCGACTTGGCTCGTTTGCTGAGCTCCGGCTCTTTCGGGAACCTGGAGAACCTCAGTCTGGCCTTCACCAACGTAACCAGTGCCTGCGCTGAGCACCTCATCAAACTGCCTTCTCTCAAGCAGCTCAACCTGTGGTCCACTCAGGTGCACACTGCTTGCCTGCGCCCTGCTCCGTGCTCCCACCCGCCCCCTGCATCCTGCACCCGCCCTCATGCCCCCGTGCACCCCTGCTCCGCTCCTGCTCTGGCACTCTCCTCCGTGGCTGGCCTTTCTGCCCAGAGCCCATGGCCCCGTCTCCTGATTACCACACCCCCTCCCCCGCTCAGCACCCACTCCCGAGGCCAGAGGAGGTTTAGGAGCTCATGAAGCCCAGTGGCCCATTTCACAGGTGCAGTTGCTGAGGCCCAGGGCAGGGCAGGGATGTGCTGGGCAAAGTCTTAGAAGCCCCGAGAGGCAAGGCCGAGAGGTGGGCTGGTCTCATGCACCTGCCTGGGGAGCACACGGGCAGCTCGTGGGTCTTTTTGTTGTAATAAAAACCACAGCACACGGCTGCTTGCTGCCTGTGCTCAGGATCATTTTCACTGTTGAGCACCTCCCGTGGATCAGTGCATGTGGTCCCCACACCAGCCCTGGGACGGGCAGGCTCCACCGGCGCCCTCGTTTTTCAGGGGAGAAACCAGGGTATTCCTGGCCGTCTGCCTTCCGGGCCTATCCCACCCCGTCCCCCTGTCCTGCCCGGGGAAAGCTGCTTTGGTCCTCACATCCCACCAGCAAAAGCTGGACTCGAACCCAGGTCACGAGAAGCACTGAGTCCTTGGAGAGAAGCGAGAGCAGCAGACCCCTGGGGCTTGGAGGGCTGTGACTCTGTCCCCATCGCCTTCCTCCACTGCTACCCCAGCTTCAAGGTCATTTTCCTGGGTGCCTGGGGGAGGCCGGTGGAGCCCCAGGGCTGAGAGGTTCTCTGCTCCACAGTTTGGAGACGCCGGCCTGCGGCTCCTGTCCGAACACCTCACCATGCTCCAGGTGCTGAACCTGTGCGAGACGCCCGTCACCGACGCCGGCCTGCTGGCCCTCAGCTGTGAGTCCCGAGGGCGCTGCCGGAGTGGGGGAGGGCCTGCTGCATGCGTGCATTCAGCAGACCTCGGCTAAGCACAAACTGCGCCCTGCACTGTGCTATGTGCTGGGCTATATTCATGCAACACGTGTTCACTGAGCACCTGCTGGGCGCCAGGCACCATTCTCGGTGCTAGGAACAATACAGGAGGGGAAATATCCCTGCCCCCGGGGAGCTTATATTCTAGAAGAAAAAGGGAAAGTGAGTACCCATACCTTCCAGATACTTGCCTGAGGAAGCAGGTTCAAGGAAAGTGCTCTAGGACACTGTTGCCCTAACCAGCGGCAGCCATCCCCTGGGGTTGGAGGGGCAGATTCTCAGGTCCTGCCCCAGACCTGCTGACTCAGAAACTGCATTTTAACAAGGTGCCCAGGTGATTCCCGTGCGCTGTTCAAGTTTGAGAAGCGTTGCCCTAATAGAAGGGGCGCCTGGGTGGCTGAGTCGGTTGAGCATCCAACTCTTGGTTTAGGCTCAGATCATGATCTCATGGGTCGTGGGATCGATCCCCACGTCGGGCTCCGCACTCAGCAGGGAGTCTGCTTGAGCTTCTCTCCCTCTGCCCCTCTCCCTCCTCGTACATTTTCTTGTCTTTCTAAAGTAAATAAATCTTTAAATATATATACATACACACACATTCACACTCAGGGAACTCAGGAATGCTGATTCCTGTACCCCAACCCTCATCTCCCGGACTAAACTCTTGGGTGCTACGCCTGAGACTTTGCACGTCCCATTTCTGACCCACTGGTTTAGACCAGAGGCCCCATACCTTGGCTGGAAGGAATCGAGGAAGGCTTCCCAGGGAGGTGACTGGATCTGGGTGGACAAGACACATACGTAGGAAGTGGCCGAGGAGGGGTATGCTGGGCAGTGGCCATGGCTCCTGCAAGGTTGTTGGCAAACTCCAGGTGGCTTGGGCAGGGTGGGCACAGGAGACGGGAGTAATGGAGGGCAGAGAAGATGAGGCTCGGAGACGTTTCTGTACAAATGCGCTTCTTGGACACCGTCATTAGAGTCTCAGAGTCCCTGGCTCAGCGCCCGGGAGTGGAGCCGAGCGTCGTATCTCTAACGAACGACTCTGACCAAACCAAAGTTTGAGGCCTGCTTTCAAGAAGTTGGGGCCTGGGTCAGCCCTCCCGGGAGAGTTTGCAGAGTTCCCCTGGAGGACGGGCCAGGCCTGGTCCCCTGGGGCGATCTACGGTGTGGCAGGCAAGCTCTGGGGATATTTGGGGTACAGGCAGTGGAGGGAGGCTCAGAGAGCAGGGAGAGAACATAGGCCCAGACCAGTGCCTGCCTGAAACAGACTTTCTGACTGGTGGGCCCCGGCCGTGCCCCTGAAACTCCACTCCCCCCACCCCATCTCCTCATCAGGGGCCTGGGCCCTAACAGTCAGTCCCCCAGCTTGACTGCCCCATACCTGCAGTCACCCTTGTGGGGGTCTCACTGACTTCATGACTGTGTCTGTCTGTCCTTGTACAGCCATGAAGAGTCTCTGCAGCTTAAACATGAACAGCACCAAGCTCTCGGCTGACACCTATGAAGATCTGAAGGTAATTCCTTGCTCCCTCCCTCCCTCCTTCCCTCCTTTCTTCTCTCCTTCCTTCCTTCCTTCCATCCATCCATCCACCAGCATCTAGATACTGGTGCTTCACCCTCATGGAGTTTACGCTCCAGCAGGAAAGGCAGTAAATGGAATAACGGCAGGTTGAAAGGAATGATAAAGAGGAAGCCAGCAGAGAATGGGTATATTAGAAATAGGGATGGTCCCTTTGAAGCAGAGGCCGCTTAAGCTGAGACCTGAAAGATAAGCCACAGATGCAAAGGGTGAAAGGAAAAGTAAGTGCAAAGGTCCTGAGGCAGAAAGTGTTGGCATGAACTGACTTTGTGGCAGATGTGACTAGAGAGTAAGAATAGACTGGGGCCAGACTTAATAAGGCCTCGTAGGTCACAGAAGGGCTCCGGATTTCATCCAAATTCAGTAGAAAGCTTTCAGAGGCTCTAAGCAATGTAGTGAGTTAATGCTTGTAAACGCTTGTTCTGGCCGTTACCAGGAAAACTGATTTTTTTGCGGGGGCCGGAGGCAGTACCAGCAAGATAGAAACAGGAAGCACATTTATGGGGCTGGTGCAATCTCGCAGATAAGAGCCTGGACTGGCAGCCTGGGCTAGGTTGGCAAGATAAAATTGGGGAAAGGAAAAAGGATCTGAGTGGGGAAAGGCAGGACACATTTTGTTTGTAAAACAGGTCTCGGGGGTTGGGGAAGCCGGGCCTTCAGCAGCCCCCTGCCCCCGTCTCCCTGGGCCCGGTACCCTCTGCCCCCGAAGGAGCGAGCGGGGCTGCACTTAGCCTGTGCCAGGGACGCCGGAAGCCCCTCGGACGGCATCCTCACCAGCAGGGAGCCCACTGCCAAAGATTGCTCTGCCCCTAAACTTGAAGGAACCCAGATCCAGACGGTGCAACCGAGCAGCAAAAGGGTGTACATAGTCAGCCACCTGTGGAGAAGAGCCACTTTCATGCATTCGAGAGGCAGGCGGGCGAGGCCCTCCAGATCACCGCCCATCCAGGAGAACCTGGAGACCACATCCCTGTGTTGCAGTCTCCTGATCTTGAGAGGCTGGCTTAAAGGGTTTTTTACCATGCTGCAGGGTGACCGCAGGCCCCCATGTTGTCACCTCTGCCTGGGAAGCGGGGGGCCGTGAGCTGGGCCCCAGCAGAGAAGCACCAAGGAGCTGTGTGTGCTCGTGTGTACGCACGCGTGGTAGAAGGTCGCCCTGGCCGGGGTGCACGGGCGAGTGGGAAGGGAGGGAGTGCGGGGAGGAGAGCCGTTAGCCCTCTGTGCAGGGAAGGCTTGTGGAGAGAAAGCCAGCTGTTTATAAAAGAAGGGAGGAACTTGTCTAGGTAGCAGGGATAGAGAGCAGGAAGCGGCTCTGAGCAATAGCAGGTGGAATTGTCTGGGAGGATCTGACCGAGTATCCCGAGGGGGGAGACTCTCCGCCCCCCCAGTACCTGCCCTTACGGGGATCCCGTGATCCCGCTCCCCATTTGCGTGCCCGAAGGCTGGTAATGATGGGATGTAAGCAATAGGAAAAGGGAGAACAGTCCCCATCTGCAGAGCATACCGTCGTGTGTCGGACGCGGGCGTGCTGTGCGTTAGGTATTCTGTCCTTAGCACTGTCCTGGGAGCGGAGGACTGGATCCCATTCGCTCCACAGACGTCTCCTGAGGCTCCCGGAGGCTGGGGGCTCTGCCCTGGGTCCTGTGACCAGCAAGTGGCTCACGCCCCAGGCTTCCCGCCTACAGAGCCAGGGATGCACAGCCTCTCAGAGGAGGGGGGCGTGGAATCCCCAGCAGCTGTCGCCCACGATCTCCGGGGCTGGGCACACCCCATGTGCCGTGTCCTCCCCGAGGTCACCCAGCTCTGCGCTCCAGGGAGCCCCCGGTGGCAGGGTGGGGGGAGGGCAAGGCGGGACCCACAGCCACCGAGGCAGGGCAGCCGGGCCCGCGGGGTCGGGCGCTGGAAGGGACCAGCTCCTTCTTGCTGCCCCACAGGCCAAGCTCCCCAATCTGAAGGAGGTGGACGTCCGCTACACGGAAGCCTGGTGAACCTCCCGGCTCGGCAGGAAGGCGTTTGCAGCTGCGACACACAACTCTTGACTAATAGCCGTAGAGCGCCGGGCCTGGGGTCCCACCCCCAGCGTCCCGGCTGTGAGATAGATGGGGGAGTCTTTCTGGGGGCAGAGGGCGGAGGGGGGAGGGGGTGGGGAGGGGGGGCCGTAAGCACGCCCAGCCCCACCTAATTCTTTTAGCTTCATAATTGGAAACCTTGACCTGATCTAAAATGGACTTTGTAGCAACCAGAGGAGCATCAGCGGGTCGGGGTTGGGGGGGGGTTGGGGGGGGGGGTTGGGGAGGGGGACCCTTTGTGGATTTTCTTTGCCTTTGTGTTTAATGCTGTGTGGGAAAAGTCAACCCCGACGCCACCGTCACACGACCCCGATGGGCCTCGAGGGCCGAGGAAGGATGCTTTCTTCCTCAAGAGGCTCGACCGAGAACTCGCCCCCCCCGCCATTGGGACAAGAAAACCCAGACATGTCATCGCACCGTCCTGTGTCCTCGCCATTGCTATGCAAAGTGATTCTTGTTGTACATAAGATTTAAATAATGCGCCTATTTAAGAAATGTTGACAAATTGCGGGTCTGGGACCTGCCTCTTATTTATGAAGTCTTTGACCCTCCCTCCCTCCCACCCTCCCACCCTCCCACCCCGCCCGCCCCTGGCTTGTAGTACTGTACAAACCAGTCAGCTGTTGGGGTAGTGGTAGTATTATTGTTATTTTTTTAAAGGAAACCGACAAAAAAAAAAAAAAAACCTCCTTGGAAAATTAATTGCTTTTTCGTAATGGATTCTGTATGCTACGGCTCGGCCGTCCGTCTGCCCGCCCGCCCCCACTGTGCATTTCCAAGTCCCAGCTGTCTCCAACTTGCTCACGGGTGGGGGTCTGGCCGGGGGGCGGGTGGTGGGAAGTGGGGTCCCCACATTGTAGTCTCGCTCCCGCCAGGCCCCGGCTTTCTCTCAGCCCCCTTTTACACGTGTGGGGGGTGCTGACCTGTGCTCCCTGCCCCCTGCCCCGGAGAGCTCCCATCTCTGGTGGCCTCTGCCATCCCTGTCCCTGCCAAGACTGTGGCCCGCGGCCTCCCCACCGTCCTGTGCTTCGTGTGGTCTCCTCATGCATGCCCGCTTCTTTGCATGGTCTCTTGGGAGAAGAGAGAGACGTTGCCTCCACCAGCCTGACTGCCCAGCCCGCCCCCCATGAATGTGGCCGTTGCAACAGATGCCCCTTCTGTCCCCACCCCGGGCCCGAGGACAAACCAACCTCCGTTTCTTTTGTAAACAGTCGGCTTTTTCTTAACAAGCCCTCACTGTACAGAACAGCCCTTTTATGGTTTACTTGGGGTCCCCTCTCCCCCCAAGCCCCCTTTTCTGTTGGTTTAGCACAAATACCGCCCCCTCCAGCACCTCCAGACCTAACCCCCAGTCAATGTAATTGTTTTATATATATTTAATCTTATTCAATGGAAACCATGCTTTTGTCGTTTTATACTTTGCTAGGTAGACTTTATTACCCCCCGACTATGCCCTCATTTTTTTAAAAAAGGAAAAAAAAAAAGAAATTGGGTTTCAGTCTTAATTCATTTTACGTGCCAGGTTTTATTTTGTGTGTGCGTGTGAGTGTGTTCTGTTTCGTGTTGTTTTGTTTTTGTTTTTTTTCTGTTGTTGTTGTTTTCTGTTGTTCGGTTTTATTCTCTCCCCTCCGGTCCCATACTTTACAGCACTCTGGTGCAGGAAGAAGCAGAAGCAAAAAAAAAAAAGACAAAAAAAAAAAAACTTCAAAAAACTTTAAAAAAGGAAAAAAAAAAGAACCGAGACATGCCACCTTTTCCCTTCGCACTGTTGCTTTTCCTGATGGTTAATACTACTGTCACGTAGCTGTGTTCAGAGATGTGAAATACTTTCAGGCAAAAATAAACTGTAAGTGACTCATTGACATCTGGCCTCTCTGTGTGTCTTCAAGGGGGCCTTTCGGTGGGGGTGGGAAGGGGACAAGACCCAGGCCGAGCTCAGGACTCCCGAGCGTCCAGGGCTCCTCATCCGTGGCGCTGCTGACACGTGGGGCCAGATCCCCCTTTGTCATGAGGTCATCTGGGCATCCTGTGATGTCATGCGACCCACCCCCAGTGGGTCAAAATCACCCCCCAGGGGAAACCCCCGGCTGCCAACGTGTGCGTCAGGGCCCTTATGGCCGTTCTAATTTAGAACTTCTAGGACCGACGTGCCTTTCCTTCACCTGGGGGTCTTGGGAAAATGCAAATCCTGATTTCCAAGGTCTGGGGGGGGCCCGAGACTCTGCCTTCCTAGGACCTGTGGGCAACACAGATGCGCTGGTTTGTGGAAGCTGTTCCGAGTTCCACAGACTGGAACCTTCCATCTAGCTGCCCCCTCACCCAGATGTCCCCAAGAGGCAATTCAGTGTGTCCAAGGAGAGACTTTATTTCCACCCCTCTCCCAAGTCACTTGCTTTCCAGGGTTTCCTCACCCAGCAAGGGCGTTACCCCAGCCCAGTGGCCCCATCGCTCACCCCACCCCACGTCCGGGCCACTGCCAGCCTTCAGAAGCCACTCCAGAATGTTCCTGTGTCTCCTTACCCATCTGTACTTCCACCTCCTTCGCCCTAAGCCAGGCCCCTCATTTCTCTCCGGAAGACTGGAGCAGCACCCTCACCGCCTCCCTGGGTCCATCCTACACCACCTTCCTACCCTCGCTACCTGCCCTGCCTCTCCACATCCCTGCTCCCCGTCCCTACCCTCCTAGCCTCCAGAGGCCTCTGTACACCCATTAAGTGACAGCCCAAGAATGTGATGGGTTATTAGCTGCTCCACCTCTGGCCACACAGGGAAAGCAGGTGCCACGGGTGAGGATCAGGAGGGCCCTGGCTTCATGATGGCCAGCGCTGGTGGAGATGTGCGTGCGCAGGTGCGTGTGCAAGGCACTGCCGCCTACCCCATCGCTGATCCTTCCCACCCAGGGGAGGGCCTGGCTCACACCAGTGCACGTAACTACCAAATGCATGGGGGGGGGGGGTCCCTGCCAGTCATCCTGTCCTCAACCCTCCTCCTCACTCTGTTCTGCAGCACCTGGGATCCTCTGCCCACTGGCTTCTGGGGGAGCCTGGAGAATGCAGGCTACCTGGGGGAGGTCGGGAGGCTGGAAGAGAGAGGTCAAGGTGCTTCTTCTCCTGGGCATCCCAGCCTCACGGTAGCCTCCCTCCACAGCTCCGGCTCTGGGAGTAATACCACTCTGACCCCCCGCGCTTAGCCTGGTCAGACCTGCCCTCTCCTGCTAGCTTGGGAGCCCCACATCCTTTGACCTAACCTGCCCTGCAGGAGGCCCCGAGTCCGGCTAGTGCCCTCCCCCCGGCACGGCTGAGCCTCACTGTGTTCCCTTTTAACCCGGTGGCTTAAAACAACAGAAATGTATTCTGTCGTGCCTCCGGAGACCAGAAGCCCACAAAGTCAAGATGTCGGCAGGGTTGCACTCTCTCTGCGGAGAAGACTTTCCTTATCTCTTCCCGCTCCTGGGGGCTCCTTGAGGCGTTCCTGGCCGTGGCCGCACTCCTCCAGCCTCTGCCTCTGTCTCACATGCCACCCACCTCCCCACTTCTGCATCCAGTCTCCCTCTGCTTTCTCCTATCAGGACATCTGCCATTGGATTGAGGGCTCACCTGAATGACCCACGATGACCTCATGGACAGGTCCTTAAGGTGATCACATCTGCAAAGACTTTTTTTCTAAGTAAGGTCACAGTCATATGCTCCAGGTGAATGCATCTTCTGGATTTGACCCACTAGAGGGCAAAGAGGGGGGTGAGATGAGCCCATATTGCCTTCATCATACTTCCAAGTCTGGGATTCATCCTGAGGGCTATGAATGACAAGGAGATTGTAATTCTCTACTCATTTTCTAACGAAACACTTCCATAGCCCCTACCGTGTCCCAGGCAGGGAAACAAGGGTTTTGTATGTCGTCTGAACTCACTGACTCCTCCTGACAAGCCCATGAGGCAGGGACTAATAGGACCCCTCTTGACCAATGGGGAAGTGGCGGCCAGGAGAGGCTGGGTGTCTTGGTCAAGGTCGCACAGGGAGCAGGGCATTTGGGGGAGATCTTTGCACTGCTGGCTGGTGAATGGTTGGGGCTGGGACCAGGGCAGGGACCATGTCGAGAAACAGATTCAAGAGGAGCTTAGGAGTAAAACTGCAGAACATGGTGATTGGTAGAGAGGCAAGACCAGCAAGGAGTCAAGGATGCCGTTCCGTTTCTCGGCTGAATCCCCAAGGCAGGCTTCGAAGGGCCTGGAATTAGCACATCTACCTGACAGCAGTTCTCAAGGACAAGCAGGGCTGGTGTGTCAGTGCCCTGGCTGCCTCCCTCCTTCTCAGGAGTGCCTGAGAAGAGAGGAGTGCACTCCCTAGGGGTGCCTCCACGCACGGTCACCAGGTATGTCCGCCCAAACCCTAGCCAAACTGGAAGCACTCTACAGCTGGGGACCCCAGAAGCCACTTGCACCTGTGTTCAGAGCTGGAGCTGGTGGCTGACGGGAGCTTTGCTACATGGCCGGGAGGCATAGAAATTGGATCGACGGCTTTGGAAAGCATACCAGCTAAAGCTAAACACCTGCCCACCCTGTGACCCCACAGCTCCGCTCCTGGGCACGCACTCCAGAGAACCGAGTGCTCATGTGCAACAAGAGACACAAACAAGAACGTTTATAGCCAAAAAATTGGAAGCAACCCAAATGTCCACTAAGAGGAGAATAAACAAAGCAGGGTAGTCACACGGCGGGACTGCGCACGGGTCCCCATCAACAGGAGAATGAATAAAGACACAGTGACATAGTCCTATGATGGAATTCTGCAGAAAAGGACCAAAAGAGTCAACTATGGATACCCACAATGAGGTGAATTAATTGGACAGATGTTATGTGTGTGAAAGGAGCCAGACATAAATGAAGGTTTGCCATCGGATCCCATTTACATGAAGTTCATGAACAGGTACCAGGCACCTATGATTATAGAGGTCAGAGCAGTGGTTATTCGTAGCGCAGGGGTGGAATGTGCTATTACTGACTGGGAAGGTAGCAGGGAACTTTCTGGAGTGAGGAAAATGCCCTCCATCTTGATCAGCAGTCACATGGATGTTTAAACATTCATGGAGCTCCACATTTCAGATTTATGTCACTTACTGCATGTGTTACACCCCCCTTTAAAAGTGGCATCAGGGGGCACCTGGGTGGCTCAGCAGGTTAAGCATCTGCTTTCGGCTCAGGTCATGATCCCAGGGTCCTGGATGGAGCCCCATGTGGTCAGGCTCCCTGCTCAGCGAGGGAATCTGCTTCTCCCTCTCCCTCTGCCCCTCTGCCTTGTTCATGAGCTCTCTCTTTCTCTCCCTCTCTAATAAATGAAATCTTTAAAAAAAAAAAAAAAGTGGCATCAGGTGGACACAACCCAAATGTCCACGACCAGGTAATAAGTGTGGTAAATCCAGACAACAGACTACTATCCACCTGTAAGAAGGAATGCACTCTGGGTACACACTCCAACATGGATGAATCTTGAAAATGTGATGCTCGGTAAAGCAACCCAGACACAAAAGACCACATGTTGTTTGATTCCATTTACAGGAATTACCCCAAATAGGCCAAACTATATAGAGAGAAAGCAGATTGGTATTTACCGGGGGCTAGGAAGCAACTGCTGAATGGCAATGGGGTTTTGTTTCGGGGTGATGAAAATTTTTTGCAACTAGAGAGAGGTGGTGATTGCACAATACTGTAATTGTTGTAAATGCCTCTTTGAAATGGTGTGTAACGTGAACTTCGCCTCAATTTTTAAAAATGGCATCAAAAAAGCAGTTTTTAGAGGGAAGAGGGTGAGTGGTCCAATGCCACCATGACTTCTAGCCGAGCAGTACTTGCCCGTGCTCACCAAGCCGCCGCCTCAAAACACTCTACTGCCACCTGCTGGACAATTGTCATTGTAAATGACACATACAATGTCATTGTAAATACGCAGACTCCCTTAGAAGTGGCACCCTTGTGCCATGCACAACCTGCACTGCTGTATAGCGTGGGACGGCTGACTTGGCTTTATTTTTCAGTGCAGCCTCTTCAGATTTGGATGGGGCTTCGCTGCTCTCCCCCCACCCACCCCCAGCCATGCCCTCGCTAATGCTGAGCCAACCTCTCCCAGATTCGGCAGAGAGATGCCGTCCGTGTGGTTCCTGATCCCCTCATCCCTGCATCGGGACCTGCCCTTCAGACACGCCTCCAGAAACGAAAGCCTCCCCAGAGCCTGTGTGGTCATCTTCACAGCAGCGGGAGGCTGAAGACTGGCTCGAAGGTCTCCGGCAAGCCCCTGGAAATAGGCCTCTTGGCCGTTTGTGTCCCCTCTCAAGGTAATGGTAGGAACAACAAGCGGTTTCTCGAAAACGCCAGGCTGTGTCTCCTCTCTGATGTGCCAGGGAGGAGAAGGGGCTGTCAGATCCCGTGGGCATGGGGCTCTGGGATCTCAGCCGCGTATATCCGAACGCTATGGCAGTCGCCTCGGGGGCCTCCCCCCAACAATGGCCACAGGGGATCTGCTGAGGTGGCAGGTGGGTCAATGATTCTCTCATGAATTTGTTTGGTTTTTTATGGATAGCAGTAATGCATCATAAGCCGCTCATACCCCTGGAGTTCCCATGGTATCCATCATGGGCATGGGGTTGGGGGCTATCTCCCCCGGCGTTGGCTGTTCAAGACAAGCGTGTCTTAGAGAAATAGGATACAAGCCACATATATAATATAAAATGTCCTCATAGCCACAGTTTTTTAAAGAAACAGGCAAAATTAATTTTAACAAAATATTTTTCTTACCCTAACAGACTGCAAATATCATTTCAATCGTGTAATCAATATAAAACTTATTGAGATATTTCAGATCTTTTTTTT